AAACCCATCCTAAAGACCCATGTAGGACTCGTCTGTCCTGATACTATGCCTGCACTGCCACAGTCTAGTCCTGAAACGCCGCAGGCAATACTAGTAGGACGGGATACTACACCTGCACCAACTGAAAGCCAATGTGTGAAGTACAACAAACCTAAAAGGAAACGCTCAAGACGTCATAAGACCTCGAAGGCGTCACCAAGTAAGGGAGACGAATGCCAGGCGTGCAATATCATTGTTTCTAAAGCTGACTCAGCTTTCGAATGCAATTTTTGCAAACGGTGGGTGCACTGCCGTTGCGACAAAGAGGTACCGAAATCATACTACGAGTTTATGAGAAATAACCCGTGCCCGTGGTTTTGGTACATCTGTCCGCACTGTCGCCCTGGCGTAGTCACACAGAGCGTGTCTGCGGTTAGCAGAAACAACACGCCGCCCTTGTGTCCCAACACGGTCTTATGTAGCTCCGCACCTGCTAACATCACATTGCCAAAACTTGGCACAGACAGTAAGAAGGACACTCCAGTCCTACTGACCGAAAATGCCAATTTTCACAAGGTTGGACCTAAAACATTAAGGAAAGATAGAGTTAGAGAAGCACCAGTTGCATCCACAAGCAAGCTTGGCAACACAATAAAGGATGGCCAGAACCCGATGAAGCCTAAAGTTGCTGATGCTGCAAAGGAATACGAGAAGCCAAAGGCCAAACCTAAGTCTGAGGTTAATCGGTCTAATTCGCTCATCCTCTTTAACGTACCTGTGAGCAAGGACAGCTTGCTTGAACAGCGGGCCCTGTTTGATCAGGAACAGTGGTCCAACCTGTGCAATAAACTAGGTCTGAATATTAATTCAGTGAAATTGTGCAGGCTGTACAGGGGTGTCCACACACCTCAAGGTAAGCCACCCCCATTACGGGTTACACTGGACTCTGCCGAAGAGGCCGAAAAGGTACTATTGATGGCTCAGGTACTAGCCATCGACAGAAGCTCTAACATAAGGGTGAGACAGGACAGACCATGGGCTGTCAGACAAATGGCAAGGGAGTCACCGGAACTTTTGCCTTCTACCTCTATGGTAGTGCACGGTGTTCCGGAGCTGGAAACGGGCACTGCCTGTGAAAAACACATGCATGACGTACAGCAGTGCAGATGGCTGTCGTCTCAGATGGCCCCTGGAGCTTCTGGAGCCATCTCCGTTTACCGACTACCGCGCCCCGCTCATCTCACACTGATTAGCTCCCCAAAGCTGCTTAGTGTCACATTCAACTCCCCAGAGCAGTTGGCCATAACACTTCAACGGTGGTATGAGATCAAGGGGAAATTGGGAGGACACATCCGATGCTGCGAAAGCAGACCTCGAACCATAAGGAGGCAGCAAACGGAGGCTTTAATACGTCCCCAAGCTTCAGTGACACTCGAGCGATGCAGTTCTGAGAATAACAGTCTGTGCCACCCAAGTGTCCTGCCTAAATCCAAGGGAAAAAACCACAATGGGCCGGTTCCATCGGAACTGGCCAATTAGTCCCAACACTAAGTTCCCTACCAGCAGACAGCTTCACGTCAACTACCCCACAACACGCTGAGGTTGTAAGACTTACTGTCAGCTGCCTGTATAGCAATGTGAGGGGGCTGAGAGCAAAAATAGGTGAACTCCGAAATCTCCAAGCACATCTACAACTGAAAATAATCATTCTCACCGAAACATGGCTAAGCCCCACTATCGCCGATAATGAAATCAGTATAGGTGATATGGTATTGGTCAGGAGAGACAGGGATAATAAGGAAGGAGGGGGAGTTGCCATATACTTTGACAGGCAACTTAAATGTGTTCGCGCAACGGACCCACCACTTATTGAACTCCCAGACTCCATGTGGTGTCATTTCACCGTAGGCCACACCAAGCATTTACTTGGTGGCATCTACCGATCTCCCACCTGTGGGGCAGAGCACAATCAGCTACCGCTCAGCACTATCACAGGGATACGAGACTTGGGCTATGACCAAATCACCATTGCTGGAGATTTCAATGCCCCATCACTGAACCTTGGCTCGGGGTATGCTAAGGGAAAATTCGGCCGAAATCTACTGCAAGCTATTCGGGACACGGGACTGACTGAGAATGTTGGAGACGACACTAGGTGGGGTCCTAGTGGAAAGTCATCAAAACTAGACTACATTCTAACTAGTGACCAACTACTCGTCGAAAAGGTCCAGGTCATGACTCCTCTAGGAAGTAGTGACCATGCAGTCATAGGTTTCGACCTCGTTCTCCGTGAGCACTTGCAGTGGGACGCCACGCAACCATGTCTGTGTTACAGCAAGGCTGACTACGCTGAAATGCGGAGGCTCTTGTCCGATGCAGACTGGCCCGTAGCATGGGATGAGCTGTCTGTGGATGAACACTGGGAAGCGGTAAAAAAGATTATTCATACAGCGATCTCGGATACCGTCCCTTTAGTCACAGCACAGCCCAAAAGAAAATCATCATGGTTAAAGAGAGGCACGCAGCGTATACTGCAAGCAAAGCGGAAGGCTTGGTTTACGTGGCGCGTATCTAAAAGCCAGATCGACCATGATGCATACCTGGAACTCAGGAACCGGTGCAATGTAAGAGTCAGGAGGGACAGAAGGTCATTCCAGGCTAACCTTGCTAAAAAACTCCTGGCAAACCCGAAGAATTTGTACCGATTCATGTCGGAAAGGAAACCAACCAACCAAGGGGCTTGCGCCTTAGTAGGCCAAAACGGTCAATATCTCACTAGTCTGGAGATGGCTGAAACATTCAGTTTAGCCTTCGCCAAACAGCTAAACAGCAATGTGGATATTACCGTTACGAACCAAAATGGTGGCATGACTATTTCACAGGAGGAAGACCAAATAGCCAACCCTCAAATAAACCCTGCAATAGTACTGAGAAAGCTGCAGCGACTCATACCCGGGAAGTCCCCAGGTTGTGATGACATCAGGCCATCTGTTCTGAAACAGTGCGCCGAAGCTCTCTGTAGGCCTTTATGTGACTTGTTCCAACACTCCATGGAATCGGGGAAACTGCCAAAGGAATGGAAAAGAAGCATCCTTTCTCCGATCTTCAAGGGTGGGGATAGGCAAAATCCTACCAGTTATAGACCAGTAGCTCTACTCCCAGTGGTATCGAAAGTACTGGAAAGTATTATTGATGATCACATCAGGGAATATCTGGATAGGTCTAAAATACTCCATGAAGCCCAACACAATTTCAGGAAAGGGAGATCCTGCGTCACTAACTTATTATCAGCTTGGGACGATTGGACATCATGCTGGGATATGAATGTTCCTGTCCATGTGATCTTTCTAGACTTTGAGAAGGCATTTGACACTGTTCACCATGACCTTCTCCTATACAAAATAAGCCAGGTAGGTCTAGGTAAACCACTTCTGTCATGGTTGAAGGACTACCTAACTGAAAGGCAATTTTGCACCAAGGTCAATCGAGTCCGATCATCTTGGGACAGCTCGTCATCAGGAGTGTCGCAGGGTTCTATCCTGGGACCACTGATGTTCTTGATCTTTATCAATGACTTACCATGCCGTCTAAACTGCCCGACTCTTCTATACGCTGATGACGTAAAGATATGGAGGGCGATAAAGTGTCCGGAGGACTCAGATAGACTGCAGGCTGACCTAAGGATTCTGGAAGACTGGGCGATAACCAGTGGAATGACTTTCAACCTGAAAAAGTGCAAAGTAGTGAAGTTACGCACCTGTAGACTGCAGAATGCAAGTTACACCCTGTGCAATGAAAGCTTGTCCTGCTCAACGTCGGAACGTGACTTAGGTCTAGTTCTAACGGAGAAAATGGACACAAGCGTGAATTACACGGGGGATGTAGCGAGGGCATATGCGGTCATACACTTTACACATAGACAATTAGGTGCACTCACTCCTGAGCTCTTTCTAAGGTTGTATAAAACATACGTCAGATCGCATCTTGAAGTGCATAATATCATTGCACCCCCACTGCTTAAAAGAGACGCCAACCTCTTGGAAAGAGTCCAACGACGGGCAACGAAAGGAGTGGTTGGTCTCCGAAATAAACCATATGACGAAAGGCTGAAGAAATTAGGCCTATTCACACTCAGTTACCGTCGCCTGAGGGGGGATTTAATTACTGCCTACAAAATAACAAATGATCAGAATCACCCAAACAAAGGTGTTCTGCCACTAAGTAGGTATAGGCTCCCTCGTGGAAATCCCAGAAGGATAGCTCACCAGAGGGCAAGGACCCGGGTGCGCTCCCACTTCTTTTCCCTGCGGGTTTGCCGTCCCTGGAATTCCTTAACGGCAGATGTAGCTATGGCACCATCTGTGGACGCCTTTAAGCGAAGGCTGGACAACCATGCAGCGACACAAGGACTGCATCCAAATGGCCTATCCCCTTAAAATCGCATATACCATTCAAAGGTAGACAATTAAACTGGTCGTTTTACTTCTTCACATTCCCTTCAGTCTTACTCTCCTGACAGCTTTAACTACACCTATTATTATTATTATTATCATTATTACTGGTATATATATATGTATACCGGTTGACTGACTGTTGCTACGTTTTCTTATTCTTTCTCTGTCTGTTAGTCTGAATACCTTTACTAATTATATCTATTATTATTATTATATATTATCTCTTTTCCATTGACGACGATACCGAAAGACTAACTGGTGAAAGGATCAACTCCATTCACAGTAGTAACAGTCTTAACACACTTCATACTACAGACGCCATATAATTAATCCCAGCACTACTCCTGTTGGAGTCAACCAAAGCTACGACAGTCGAGTGGCGGGACGAGCTACACAGACGTTTACCAAAGATCAGGAACCTCTACCTCACAATCAAGAGGCGAGCACAAAGAAATCAAATTGGTTTATACTAGCTCGTAAAAACGATATTGGATATTGGAAAAATTAGAAACCACCATCTATTTTTTAAACATTGAATAGGTTGGCCTTCAGTCAGTATCCAGGCAAGTTGAGACACCGCGCAGTTTGTTTCTACAGAATTTGTGCAGTAATTGTCATTATATCTCAATTTATTACTCATTTTCCGTTATCGTGGCCATTGTGTTTTGGAAATCTTTTTTTATAGCTTCTCTTGGGTTAGGAAAATGTTATGCGTCCTGAAACAAGAAATTTAGGTGCCACAATTTAAAATATATGGTTTTAATGGTTCCATTATACAAATTCTGCACGCTTTATCCTTTGAAGTTTCATAGACTTTGCATTCAGACATACTGCCATGCGAAACTATTTCTGAAACTTTGTGGACAACAAAATTCACTATATATTCAAGTGTTAACCCTTGAATAATTAGCATTTTTTGTATTACCTCAGAATGGTTTTGCTTTTGATGGTTTGTCAAGAATCGCATACGTGATTCTAAACTCATGTGTTTTTACGAGAATGACTATAGAGATTTTAGCTAAACCAAGCTAGCATGATTTTCGGGCACACTGCAGATTTTTTGGGGTAAAACACTTCGGGCGCATTGCAGAACGTGGGATATTGAACCTAAGCCTGCCTCAAAAAGTCTGCAGTGCGCCCTAAGTTACTATTACATACTAAAGCTTGGGACAACGCGCCTACGGTTCCGCATTTAACCCTCAGTCGACAACTAACACAGCGTCAAATGTCTAATCAATTTTTACTCATGTATATAAACGAAGCAAGAAAGTTATGTGAGTACATTGATATGATTATGAGGAAGAAATTGTGCTCGAAACGTCACCAATAAATTTTACTGTTTAACACTGTGTGACTTTATCAAAATAAAATTTTATCCATAATGGAAGCATATTGTACCTTGACTTTTGAACTCTTCTGCTATTTCCAGTGAGGTTTTCCGATCTAGTGAAAAAGAAAAGAGAAGATGGATCAGGTCCATAACCGTGTTTTACAATTTTGAACATCGTGATGAGATATCTTGTCTGTTTATAGTATGATAAGACGAACGGATTTAAAGTGTTAAGTCTTTCCTCTTATGAAAACCAATTCATATCAAAGATCATAAGTATGACCTTTCTTTGAACACTTTCTAGATTATATGAGTCCCCCCTTAAGAAAATGGCCAGCTGCATGGATACAGCTTTCTAGTTTTGACCACACCAGAGATGTATGTAAACTGCTGAACATTTCACTGAAGACTTTTGAAAGAATCTGACTTTAGCCCATAAGGCTATAAAGCTGCGAACTGCCACCGCGGGACACTGTGCCGCAACATCTATGCCATGATCTACTACGACACCTTGATCCGTATGATTCTTAAGTAATGGGAGTGGAATTCCCTCTATTTAAAATAAGCTGACACTAGCGTGTCCAATGAGCATAGTGGTGCACTTCACTGCATTAGTTGGTAGAATCCATTCTTTGGACCAATCTGCTAGCTTGTTGAGATCTATTCGTAGCGTAAACATGTCTCTGTCGTCCTTAAGATCTCTCCAAATTCTTAGGTCATCTGCTTAGAGGGTCCCATGAGATCTGGTAATTCCCTGATATACAGGATAAATAAGAGGGACTGGGAACATTGTACACTAATATGTATTGTTGTCCAGAAAAGTGGTGTTGAGTTGATCCTGACTGCATGTCTCATCTCTAAGAAGAATTCCTTGATCCAGTTTAGCGGGTCACCCTTTTTTCCAAAACTTTCAAATTTCCTAAGTAGTCCTATGTGAGACACTTTGTTGAAAGTTTTGCTGCAATCTCTGAAGACTGCGTCGATGTGTTTCTTATTGTCTCCGAACTTAACCCGACTTTTCCTGGATACAGTGAGATTTGCCTGACTCGGGAGGTTTTCCCAAAACCGTGCTGTGCGCTTTAAAGCAAGTTGTTATTTTCCAAATATGCCATCGGTGCTTTCTTGATTATTAATTTCGGTTTCATGAGCAAGGTGCTAGTAAGACAAGTAGGCTTGTAGTTTTTCTAGATCGCCCTGTGTGGATGAGGGGTTACTACGGTACCTCTCTGATCATGTGGTAACACTCTATGTGTGAGATATGACCTGAAGATCGTAGCCAGTGGGATGGCTATGTGAGCCACTAGGTCACACAGAATCTGCTGCTGAACTCATGAGAGTAGGGAGGAAAAATAGTAAATAGGACTATCTGATAGGAGAATCCTGCCATTTAGGCAGATTTCCAGTGTTAACCCATCATAGAAAAAGAGCGTTAGTTCAAATTTTACTGGCTTTCTTTCCTCATCATTTGAAGCTTGTGACTTCTTTGCATTATACCATTTTGATTAAGTAAACGAGGACCACATGTAACAAAAGATTCAGCATTTCAGAAGTGGTAGTCAGTCCTGAATTTCTTCTTATCCCTGTCATCCAATTTGAAGTAACATGCACTGTTTACTTAGATAATTGTTGATTAGAACAGTAAAGTACCATATAGTTATCATTCGAAGCTGGTGAAAATTAGGGATGTGATTACCAGCATTAAGGGGGAAATTATGCCCGGACGCAGTCATTTTCCCTCTCAGTTTCAAAGAATATAGACCGCAAATTAGCCGTGACTATACCTTACACAAGTTTTCTTATCTTTATCTACGACAGTAAAACACACAAGTCGTGAATGGATGATATAAATAAGCCAAAGTTCTTGATGATTTATGATATGTTCTGCATAGTTCTCAAGACACCAGCAATTAAACGAATGTGTTGTTAGACGGTCTTTTTATAACAAACCAATTCCGACCTATTTATCTTAACTGAATTAAGTAATTGAAATTGGTATAGTTCGCCAGTTATATAACACTTACCTGTCGGTGTGATTACGCTTCAAATAAATCGAAGCTGAAAGAAATTTCATTTAATTTCTTCCAAGTTTGGATGGTATGTTGAAATATTAACGGCTTAACTACTTGTAGTGAAAAATGCGGAACAACTGCTAGTGAACTGACTACTGATGAAATCTTATCACGGATGAAAGGAAGGCTTGTTTGGCATTAGCGAAACAACATCACCTTTCGTGATGGCGTGATATCCTGCTGTCTATCATAGGACCCGCAAAGTGTTCAGCAGTTCTCCCCATCGTAGTTCAAGACTGAGACACAGATATACTAAAGCATTGGAATAGTTATTTCTGATATACGAGGCAGCATCATTTCTCTGAATTCTGGGGTATGCCTTTCTGACGAATACTGACAAGCAACAAACTTAGGTCCAAGGGTTCCAGTTAACTAGCTGCACAGTGAAGGCTAGTCACCTAGCTCTAATAATAATAATAATAATTTTTGCTTTATTCCAAAAACAGTATTAATGATACAGCAAGGAATTTTCAGCATTCAGTACAGTATTGCATCTAATTTACTCAAAAACGACAACAACAAACAAAAAAAGTAGATAAACGGAATAATTAATACATAATAATGATAACAAAACGTTTTTATAGGAGCTATGTAGCAATTACAGTAGAGGATAAGGAGAAAAATATAAAATTATAGTAATAATAGTAATAACAACTAAAATAAAAATAGCAAAGTTATAATTAAACGATAGAAAGGGTGACACCATAAAATTACAGAAAGATGAACAATGAAAGGGTCGATTCACTATGCTAATTACATAGTAACTTATATGTTTCACGTCTAACAGTGTCTTCATCACATAAAATACGGGCTAAGTACGGTATTGTAGAATTTTTGTACTTAGTGGTACGAGCATATAATTTCTTATATTGACTTCTCGTTCTACCTGATGAGATACAAGGGGATAATTGTGAATAAAGAGGGTGCAGAGGGTCTGACAGTACGGCCTTTGCCCAATTTTTACAGGAATTTACGTGTCTCTCGACTATGGTATTGGCGAGATCACGCAGTGGCAAACCACAAGCCCTACTCACAGCATTTAATACCCTTCGTAAAACGGCATAGTCTTTTTTAAGAAGCCCAGGAAAGATTAATGGAGAACAATAAAGTAAAATGGGTAAAATACAGGAGTTTAAAAATCGCAGAACTAAAGGTTGGCTGATACCTTGTTGTCTTAACTTTTTAATGTAGAAGGTAAGACGAAACATTTTCTTAGAGACCAATAAAATGTGAGATGACCATGAAAGGTCCGAGGAAAGAACTAATCCAAGGTATTTAATGCTTGATTTGGTTTCAATTTCTGTACCATCTATGCTACAGGCATCATGGGAACTAACTAGTTCATGTATGTCACGTCGATGGTTGAAGGTAAAGTTAACTGCCTGACATTTGGAAGGATTTAACATAAGACCATTTGACTTAGACCACATGCTGATGTCCAACAAAAAGCTATTAAGTTTGGAGCAGTCAGACTCAGAAGTGATAGGCAGTGATACAGTCAGATCATCAGCATATTTGACAAAATTAGTTTCGTTTAAATGTGGCAGGTCATGTAAGAAGAAAGAAAAAAGAAAGGGAGAGAGGACGGCACCTTGAGGAACACCGGCTTTTGTAAGCAAAGCAGAAGAAGATTTGCCATTATATGCAGTATACTGCATTCTATCAGAAAAATAAGAATGCAACCAACTCTTAGCCCAGGATGCTGTGTGCGTCAAGGAGAGCTTATTTAATAAAAGGCCCCTAGGTACAGAGTCAAACGCAGATGTGTAGTCTAGGAAAGCACCACGGACATATTTGGCACCTTTGTCTAAACAAGAAACAACATTATGATATAAGACAACCGCAGCATCCAAGGTACTTCTACCATGTTTATATGCAAATTGCTTAGGGTCATTAAAAGCTTTCAATGAAGGTTCAAGACGAAGTAAAAGTAGTTTTTCCATCAATTTTAAAAAAGGAGAAGTAATTGCAATAGGCCTAAATTTACTATCGGTACCAGAAGATTGTTTTGGTATAGGGACAATTTTAATGTTTTTCCATGCAGAAGGTAGAACATTACTGGAAAAGGAAGCATTAAAAATATTAGTAAGAGGGTAACACAAAATATCAGCACAGTTCCTGAGGACAATGGCAGGTACGCCATCAGGACCAAGGCTTTGGGAAGGCTTAAGAGAACGGAGACATTTAAGCACTCTATGACTGGTTTAAAAATCAACTAACATAATTCAGTCAGCACCAACTTTAGGAACACTAGACATATGACCTTGGTTACTCCTTAGTCAACATTCAATGAAGTTCAGGACTTTTAGGCAGTAACAAACCAAGACTTTATGGGAAGTTGGGTGGCTCTATTATTTAACCACTGGTGAATAATGGGTATCGGATGGATGTCTCAATCTTACGGGATATGAAAATTATACCTGAATTGTGATTTCATGTTATCTGTATCTGCAAATGAACGTGAAGCTCCTATATGTGGTTTAAAAATCAATAACAATAACTGATTAAAAATGCCCATTAAAATTTTTCATAGAAATGGTTACTGAACAACGAATATTCTTTTCGATAACTTCATCACCAGGTTCTACAGTTTTACATACATTATAGTGAATGAATATTAACTGCATTAATGTTGTTTAAATAACATTGAATCAATAATGATAATACTAATGGATTACAGTTCGATAGCATCAACATAACAATACACTGAATATCAGAAAAATTAGGAAAGATAATAATACAAATTCATGAATTTATAGTCTCCATTGAAGGCCGGATAGGGCAGGGTAGTGGTAGCGACTCGACTTGCTTCTTTTGCGCACACGGCACCGGTTGTTTAAGGCGAATCGCGATAGCCTCTGCTGTTTGGAGTATGCGGTGCCTGGATGTTTTCGGCAATTTATTCGGTACCCGGTAGATGATACAGAGGGATTCTTCAATGCTGGCTTTGTGGCCGGTTTGGACCAGGTGGTCTAATTGTCGAACTGTTGATGGCTGAAGTCATTGAAAAGAATATTATTTGTTCAGTAACCATTCTACTGAATAATAATAACATTTTTACACTATCCATACAGTTGACAATCTTCCTCAATTCATATGTTAATTTATTTCATACCTTTGTAGCTTAATTGTAGTAAAAGCACATAGACAGGACACATATGGATTGCGAGAAGGATTCCGACACTGGTAGGTTGACTATTTATTCATATTTCCGTTTTACAGATAAAACAGAATTATATTCAGTACGTGATCTACCACGTAGTGAGGTAAGAATAAATTAGAAAATGGATGTTTTATCTTTGAGATGGTATTTCGATCTTTATACCTCAGATTTCTAAGTAAACTATTTAACACATGAATCCGTTAATTAATTACCATCTTGTTTAACTCTGACTTTTAATTATTCAGATAGAAGAACGTCTACGATTTTACAAAAGTGAATTAGACAGGAAGGATGAACTGATAAGAGAAATGACAAAGTAACAAAAAGAAAACAAACAAAACAAACTAATATCACTTAAACTTTACACAGGTTGACTGCTAATGCACCAGTTATGTGTCAGTTCAGAACATCAGACACGCAAACATGCTCACATGAAAAGCTGGAGGAAATTCGAGTGAAAGTTGAGAAACTACAACACACAGTAAGAACATTTCACCTTCGTTTTAAATGAATGGAATAAATATATATTTTTAGATAGTAGAAAATAAAGAAATAATACATGAAAAGAATATGACAATTAATGAATTAAAAGCGGAATGTGATGCAGCACGACTGGAAAATGTTGATCATTTAAAAAGGATTGAAGAATTGGAAGGTTTACTACTAGAACAGACACATAAACTGCACAATTTTGAACAAGCTGGAAATCAGCATACCTTAGTTATTCAATCACTACAAGAGGATATAAAGATGAAAACAAACAAACTTTTGGACCTACGTTACCAGTATAAGTGAGCGAAACGTCTTTGATCTGTATGAGTTCACAAAATTCTTTGTTTACTTTTTATTCTAAATTTAAACGTGGAAACATTAAAGGCTTTCGTCTGTGAAGGCTGTTTTGGTTCTGTTAGAGAGTGATGGAACCATAGACTCAGTAATACCCATGGGAAACATTGAGATCTTGATGACAGAATTGAATCAGTTTATGAATTTCCAAAGTGGTTAGAACATATGTAACTCCCACCAACCCATTGAACAAAAGTGATGTTAGGAAAATTAGAATAAAGTTCGACAGAGGTTACGGACACCTTCTGAAGACAGTCACAGTTGTTCCGATGTTTTTACTGTGAGGTTTTGCTAAGTGTTGGATGGAAGTAAACTTCGATTGAGCTGACTTTTATTATAAACAGCGTTTTCGATCAAAACATGTGAATAACCTTAAATAAACCTATGTCCCTTACAAGATTCGAAGACGCATCAAGCTAGGTGGTATTCACAGATGTATTCGGAAAAACGAAATAGTTTGTGTATGAATCAACCAACCAATGTAGCAGTCAAGCTCTATATATGATAATTGAAATATAGCACAGTATAAATTTCATTGCTGAATTGTCTTGAATTCGGTATCAATCATGAGTGGTATTCGTCAGTGTCTAGATCAATAAAATAAATAAACACAAGGATTAACAGCAAAACATCTTTTATATTATTTTGGAAGTTTTGTTTAGAAAAAAATAAGTATACAATTCTTGTACTAGACTATAGTTATAGAGGTAAATAATTCCCCAAAATTATTGACCACAGCACTCATCACTGAACATTGGATGCTGACCCTCACTGTTTAAATCGACTTGTTTAGCTGAAGGCTTCCGGTCAAGTATCCATGCCATTTGTTACTCCGTCATGTCACGTTCATTCGTTCGTGCACGATCCCTAGCCAGCTAATCAATCATCTCGCACTCCTATTTGGTCCTGAAATATATCTCGTAATTTGGACGATCAAATATTGTGTTTTGCTTTGCCTTTGGTCTACGCGGAACGAATACTATAGAAGTTGTGGGTATTAGATCTTGCGTTAGTATACCTCGTACTATCCGTGAACGTCAATACCCTTAGCCTCTAAACACTCTTTACTTCATTTTGTGTACTAATTCGAAGTGTTACAGAATGTATGAATGTATTGTGAGTGTGATCGTATTGTGGCCTGCTTATCTGGCTGCCTATCTTTATCTCTGTTGATCTGCCTGAAAAAGATGATTAAATACCGTGAGATTCCTCTAGTCAACATAGATCTATGAAGCAAGTTCCAAGATTAAATTGACTGCACACAGTTTTGAGCAGAAATCAGTTCAGTTGTGCAGTATTGTTTTTGTCCTATGGAAATGATTAAGCATACACTAATTACGTCTGTAAACAAGGAAGAGGATTAAGCCAACGTCCGTCTATGTTGAACTCTCTGTAGAATCACAAGTCTTAATAAAAGCTTATCAATCACCCTATATTCATTAGTGAATGTCTTCCAGGTGGATTTTTCTAAGTGAGATTATGTGATGTAGGAATTTGTGTTCATTGGTGATATTTACACATGTCGACGCACTACCAAAAACTATTAAACGTTTCTAAACATGAGGTATTGTATTCAAACAAAGTGAGTGATATCATACGGATTTTACGTGTTTGCACTATCTCACCGTCTACTTACTTTCAATATTTTTATGACCAGTATTCACAAGAGACAAAAAATGTACCGTCAGATCAGTCAATTTATTACAAATCATTTGAGCAACTAAGAAGAACCAGTTAAGTGCTTGAGCAAGATAAGCAGTAAAATCTGGGAATTCCGTAGGGTGTTAAATTTTATTGCACATACTGCTCCACTGTTATCATTCATGCATAATATGAGTTAGTTTTTTTGAAGGGGCTTAGAAAAACCCTCCATTTACTAAACACTCATGTGATTCTTTTTGGCTTTTAAGCCGAGAAGTTCACTTGCTACCTCTGGCATCGCTATTTTCGATTTCATAGTTGTATATTTGTTATTTATACATATATGCCTATTTAACTTCCATTCTCTTTGGATTGATCAGAATTTTAGAAGAAAAAGATGAAAGGAGAAAGAAAGCTGAAAAGTCATCTCATGAAGAACTGGAGAAGTATATTAAAGATCAAGCAAATCTATTAGACTGTGAAGCGAAATCTCAGTCATGTTTACTTAAGGTAATGCAATGAAATGAACTTTTTGAGTGTACAAGTATTTTTTGGTCATTTTATCACTGAAGCTGATTTCATTCAGTTAGTATATATCACGAGTTATCTAAAACTCTTAGTTTTACCTTTCTGAAATATCCACTTATTTGAATATAGGGAATTTTGTGTGCACAACAAAGTGAGCAGTTCTACTATTTGTTGGTGGCATTCTTTCAAGCCTATTCTCCTGAGATAGTGGGAACAACTTAGATCGGCTTTTGTTTCAAATCCTTTGGATCTACTTGATAACATGTTTCGTATTTAACTTATTGGCACACTACTTGAGTGTTAAGTTTTAAATGATGTCTTAAGTGTACGGGGTACAGTAAAACACATAGGACCTTATGTAACTAAGTAGAAACGTGAATTCCCTGATCAGTACTCTTCACCTGGATTAGTTGATATCTTGAGGTCATTGATAGCAATGAATTCTCAATCCTTTCATTCAAAGAGTTTAATTATGGATGTATTATTACTATCATTACAGTTATTATTATTCCCTTGGGTTCTGAGTGTTACATAGAGCCTCAGCAGCACATCTTTACTTCACTCTATTCCCTGAATTCCTGCTGCATAATTGCCAACAGTCTTCCACTTCCTCTTCACATGATCTCATGCATGTCACCCTTTGACGCCCGACTCGTGGTTTTTCATTCGGGTTTCATTCGACGAACTGCTGTCTGATGATCCTAAATGGTCTCTTCAGCTTGTAAGACGCATCTCCAATTCCACTTGCATATTTGTTTTGCGATAGGTTCTTGGTTGGTTGGCATTTTGCCAGAGTTCCCTGTTGTTAATCCTTTCCGACTGGCCATCTGATCTTCAGATGGTTTTCATGACGTGCCAAGTGTCTAAACCACATAGAACAACTGACGTGACACTAGTGTTGACGACCCGGATCTTGTCCCTTATGCTGAAGGCAGTAGATTTCCACATTGACTTTTGGAGTGATGAAGGTGTGTCTTGCTTTTTCAAGCCTTACTGGACATCTTCATCCCTTCCGCCGCCTGAAGTCGGAACGGTACTGCCTGTGTAGGTAAGTGGAAGAGGTGACTTTCATCAAATTTCTTCTGTTGATAGAAATAGGTGTTTGTTTTTGCTAGTTAGGAATCTATGGCAACTCAGGCTTTTCTAAATTCGCTTGGAGTTCTGTCTTTGCTGCTTCGAATGAAGCAGCAGATATCGTGTTAATCAAATATTTTGGTGAATTGTTATTCTGAATCTCCTCTGAAGGTTTGTGTTACTGCTTATTTTGAGAATAAAAAATCACTAATATATCCGGGTTAGTTTATTATGACTGCGTTTAATATCACTTACCACAGTTTCCTCCTTATAGGGTAAAAAGTTAGACGGTTATAAGTTGAGTGCAAGAAGTCAGGTGTCATACTATTTCTCCAGTTGCTTATCAGTGGAATATATACAGAAAATTCTCTTTTCAGCGAATTCATTCACTTAGCTGTACAATCGCAATTATATATTTATATATACTTATTTTTGCATGTGTGTTTACATTACGTTTGTCCGATAAGAATAAAAATAAGTTAGGGTTATTGTTGTTAAAACATTTCAAAAATGTGATGAGTAATCAAACTGTATTATTCCATTTTACACAGTGCCCAAATTGTATCCTTATATCAATAATCAAACTGTAACTATTGCAGGGGGAAGGAGAAGATTAGTAAGAAGGTAGGGGTGATGTGTTGTCAAAAATACGTATTTATTAACACATAAAAGAAGTTGAACAAGGGCAATACAGTTATGTAATAAGATGAATAGTTTAATGAGTGAGTTGTAACTAGGATGCACCTAGAAACAAAAGAAAATATGGATTTATATCCGAGAATTATTTTCAATAGTTGATTTGAGGGGATTAGGTTTGTTTTTTTCGAGTCTGACGACGGATTGATATCGGTTAGAGAACCATTGAAAACCAGGGATTTCTGGACAGCTGTTTCATCCTAGTTCGGGATTCATCGGCAGTACACACCCACTGTGGTTTGAACTCACGACCTTCCGGTTATAATGCAAGCTTGTAAAGCATTCAGAATTATGTAAGAACTCTTAAATAATTCCATACTTCCTTTTGTTTCTAGATGCATCCTAGTCACAACTCACTCATTAAACTAGCTGGAGTTCCTCAGGGTGCTGTTCTTTCTCCGTTTCTCTTTTCCTTCTTCTTACATGATTTACCTCTCTCAGATGAAATCAACTTCGTCAAATATGCAGATGACCTGTCTGTATCGTTTCCCATTAAGTCTCAGTCAGACTGTCTCAAATTAAATAGCTTCCTGTCGGACATCAATGAGTGGTCCAAACTAAATGGTCTCATGCTGAATCCCTAAAAATGCCAGACTATTGACTTCTCCCTTAGGCATAAACGAGATCTACAAACACTAGTAAGTTCTCATGAAGACTGTTGCATTGAGGGGACTAAAACTGAAACTAAGTCTAATGCTAAATATCTCAGTCTAGTTCTATCATCTGACCTTACTTGGACATCTCATATCCTAATGATTTCTAGGAAAGTGTTCTGTCTTACCTACTACATTAAGAAACTTAGACAATCCGGAATCACCCAACCTCTACTTTCACAATTTGTCAACTCCTGTATCCTACCTATTCTGCTTTACTGCTCCCCGTTAGTCTTTCCTGGTCTACTGAAAAAGGACTATGCCATCCTGAGAAGGATATTGAAGGTAGTTAGTAGGACTAGTGGTGTAAATCTCAGTCAGCTCGTCACTACTTTAGTTGATAGGCATCTGAATACATGCGAAAAATGGTCTAAAATCATACTCTCAGACCCCCAACACCCCCTCTATTCCCAACTCTCTCCTTGTATCTCATCAAGTAAAACCAGAAATCAGTATAAAAGAATCTATGCTCGTACAACCAAGTACAGGAACTCAACCATACCATACTTGGCCCGTGTTCTAAGCGACAGAGACAATGTTAAGCGTGAAACCTGTGACTTGCTCTGTTATTAACAACATAATTTCATACTCTTTTATTTCTCTCTTATTTCGTATTCTTTAGTGAACTCCTTCTTCAAACTTACTTAGCTACCTGAAATATTAACATTGGCTCCCTTTTTTGTACTTTACTATATTCCTTCTATTGTGTATCCACTGGTTCCGACTCTATTAGCACTATGAGTATTACAAAATTGTCCTGTCATAACCATCATGTAATTATTAGTTTTGTGGGTGTTTTTTTTTTCTTATTTTCTATACTTTTCGGCAATATTAAACTGACAATCATTGTTTGTGAACGCCATAGTCACCACCTTAAAAAATTTTGTATTATTCAGGATTACTCACACTACCACCACAAACACTGCATTAGACCTTGGTAGACTTTGGTACTTTTTTGCATTCATAATTATTTTGTGTTTATCCTGTTTTTTTGTTGTTTTGCTGTTGGTGTCTTCAGATTCATTTTTTTTGTTTGTTTAATACTTATTTTAAATGTCGGTAAAATTAGATGCAAATATTGTAGATTTGTGCTGAAAATTCCACACTGTACCAATAGTACTGTTTCTGGAATAAAGCAAATTATTATTATTATTATTACATAACTGTAATGCCCTTGTTCAACTTCTTATATGTGTTAATAAATATGTCTTTTTGACAAAACATCCCCACTACCCTCTTACCAATCTTCACCACCGCGTAGTTACAATTTGATGATTTATCACATTTTTGAAATATTTTGATGACAATTACCCTAACTTATTTTTATTCTTATCGGACAAACCTAATGTATACACACATAAAAATATAAGGATATATATATATATATATGTATATGTAATTGTTATTGTACAGCTGAGTTAATGAATTCGCCGAAAAGAGACTCTTCGTTGAACTAGGTGTTTCGTTTTCATCAGTGTCTGGATGGAGATTATTCATGAAGAAAATTCTTTGTACATAGTAAAAGAAGACACTTCTGGGTTTCTTCTGCTAGGTTTTTATTTTCAGCATGATATGTAAATAACTTCAACATATGAAAAATCTAATGAAATTACGTACTTCACGAGCAAACATTCATGGGTTCGAAACTCGACTTATTGATTCTAAAATAAATGACAATAGTATTTCATAACCAAGGTTATTAGGTGCAATACACGCAATTTAAAATAATTTAAAATAAGGTTTTTCTAATATTCTTCAATATTCTTTAATTTTTTGAAACGTATTTGTAAAAGAAATCGCCCCCGTTGCATGAACTATTAGTATCCCCTGTTCATCGCAAATCAGTATTGTGATTCGGCTTGTTCTTATAAGATTTTTTGAGTTATAAGCTGTAATTATTTCTTAATACTTTGACAGTTTCATTGCGACTATGATGTTAGTTTAAACATTATTCTGGTTAGTTGAGTATTTGTATACAAACTTGTACTGCTCATATATAAGTTTATCTGCAATTTTTGCTGCCATGTTTTTACCTTTAAAATCTAGTTGAATGGAGACAGGCGTTTTTCAACTGTGATTTGCCTGTCTTCATTCAGCTAGATTTTAAAGGTGAAAACATTGCAGCAATGGTCAACAGAAAACTAAGTAAGTCACTAGCCAGAGCCTATCCTGCAGCTATGTTGCTGCAGTCAAAAGTCGATAGATACCCTTCTCATATCAATTCCAACTGTGTATACAAACTTACGTGCATCTGCAGGAGCAGTTACATTGGGAGAACAGAAAGAAGGACACACCTACATTTTTCTCAACATGTACCGAAAAGCCTATGTCTCAAGGGAACAAACTTTTATAATAGTGCTATTGCCAAGCATCTCCTTGATACGGGTCATGAGGTGGAAATCGCGAAATCCTTTAAAATTATCAATAGACAAAAAAGCTCAATTCTCCTTAAGTTTGCCAGAGCAATTTCTATCAGACACTTGAAACCCAATTTATACGTTCAGAAAGAAGCGGTTATCAGTCTTTCCTTGCCACGATATCAGGATATCTTCATACTCTGTTTCACTCGATTACGTAATCTTTGGCTTTAACCTCACCCCCTCTTTAACAAAGTGTAATTTTGCCTGTCTCCTGTTTCTATGGTTTGAGTTGAACTTAGTACATTGTTACTCAATTTACTTGTTATTCGTCATCTTACTTATCTCCCGTCTTTATTGCGTAACTCCTTTACCATTGTATGCATACATTTACTTTGTTGAAACTTGAACTCCCTGTGCAAAACTGTGGAAGCGTAATTTTCTGAGCACTGTTCATAAAGTCCAAAACCTCCTGTTAACTGACATCATGAAAAAATTTGCAAGTATGTTAAGACTTTTCTATACATAAACTTATTAATTTATCTATGTTGTACTCAGCTGAGCTGATGAGAAGCGAACGAAATAAATGATGGTACCATATTATTCTGCACAAACCACTGTTTTTCTTGCTTTATCCAGATTTACTTACTCTTAATCGCAAACTTTTCTGTATGAGTCCAGTTCTGGTTTTGCCGCAACTTAAAGTTTCATTTTAAGTTTTTTCATTATTCACTTAAAATGTTTATTTTTCTCTAAGATATTGAATAAATACAATAACGGATAATCCTGCCGACATTTTAGTGACCTTTAAACCACTAAAACTTTTATTTTTTCTTAATGGTTTATTACTGACCTTACTTTAGTTGTTTTCCTAAGAGCATTCTATTAATATATATATATATATGTAGGGGTACTTCTGCGATGTTTTTAAACACTTGTAAAGGAAAAATCTAGCATAGACGTTAATATGCTTGTTTACTTACCTTCATGTCAGATGAAAACATAACTGACCTACTTTTGTAAAATCTAAGACTTGTTGTGTACAGCGCAAGAGGAAGTGAATTCTGAGCACTGTTTCGCATAAAAATTACTTTCTTTTTATTCCTTTACGTTCCCAGTGGAACAAAGGGCTTCAAGCTAGAGCTTTGAAGTTTCGATAGCAGTAGTATTTATTTTTATTTGGTGGGATTGATAGCCTCAAGCCCAACCTTCCCTCTTTACCAGTCTTATTACTGTCTTAGCGAGGTAAAGGAGTGCGTTGGCCGGGGATCGAACTCCGAACCAGATGTGTGGTTGGTGGGCATTCTGTAAGATCCCTGACTAGTTATCTAAAAGCAACTGATCCTAAGTTATTATTGCCTATTAAGGTTTTAATTTTAATTTTCTGTCGTATATCCATCATGCTGAAACAAGTCTGCCTGGTTAAAGTCAGGTCAATTAAACAAATTGCTTGGTTCTTCAAAATCTTTTGTGCCTGAATTCCTCTTTTTACGTGAAATATTATTTTACTTTCTAGAGTTTTTCATTTAAATGCGTTAAAACTACATACTACTGACTGATTGAGATGAGTAGTTGTATACCACGCACATCAAACAGTAGTGTTTGCTAACCAGGTTGAAGTGATCTAAACACCGTACCGCCATTTTGTTGACTTGGGACCGAGCTCATCAGTGGTTAACACGGTTCAATTCATACCATAGAGCCGAATAAGTTCAAACCACCTGATTTCTGGCTAGGCACTTGGGCCAGCTGGTGCTACCATAAATGACATTTCCATTTTGGCAAATAAATCACTTAATCGTATATAGTTTTCTGTGTTTATACTTGGTTTCTTGATTACCATCGATAACACGAAGCAGACTGCATAAAGTGATCTGAATAATATCGGTTGTCAAAGGAAACTATGGTGAAATTATCACCTCAAACAGTAAAGATTGTGAATTAATTTGCGCATTGTGAATTTGATTTATCAGTTAAAAACGAAATATTCAACCAAGGGACTCCTTTAGACATGTTCACTTCAAAACTTGACCATCCTAGTATCAACCCCAAGTGTAGCTGTATTCTTGTTTAGACTACTGGAGAGAGATTAGAACCTGTAAGAAATAGTTGTGCAATACTCAGTGGTGGTTTTTAATGTTTCTCTAATTGATGATGACGCCAGACATGGAATAAACTAGTCAGTAAATTTACACTGACTGGTGTTATTAGGTCACACAACTAAACACCATAAACTCCACTGTATGGTGTTGAATTGATGTATAATTGTGAGTGTCAGCTTTTTGAGGCTGAAGTGAGATGTAATATTAAGTCGTGGATTTACTGAATATTCTTTTGTTTAATGTAATCTAATGTCGGTTACTTAGCTGTAATACTAAGTAGTTAAGAGTTTATTGCTGAAGAACTTAGATGAAACCCATTAAGACATTCAGAGAATTTTCATGGATCGGTTTTTGTGGGGATTTTTGTTTGTTTGATTGGTTGGAGGATTTCATCATGAGCTGACATCAATTAGAGAACCATTAGAAAATCTGGAAGTACCGGATAGCTGTTTCGTCAGCCTAGTTTGGGAATCTTCATCAGTACGCACCAACCGCGGGGGTTCGAACCCAGGACCTTCTGGTTACAAGGCTGGCGAGCTCGTAGACCATTAAGCCACTCACTGGGACCCGATCCAATGGTCAGCCCACGAATTCTAACTTCCTTCAATTCATGACATAGTGCGATCACTTTGCAATGTCTTCTTCTATTGATTCTTCACTCATTTTCTTGTCTACCTTTGTGTGCTATTTGGAACGTGGCAACTCGAACTGCTGCACTTCGGTGCCAAGTTCTATGTTGAATCCAGCCAGCCAGTCAGTCTTCTTCAATGAGTTACTGCCTCACCTTCAAGCTACTGTACCCTACTGGCCACAGCTTCCCACCAGAACCCCGGGTCACTACCTGAATGAGGCCAGTCGCTAGTGAGCATCAGAGAATGTAAGAACTGTGTATGCTATCTGTTTTTATGAGAAACTTCTAACTATTTCCAGTTTAAAGTTTTTTTTCAATGTAGATTTCGTCACAAGATCAGTATCACTTAGAGACCATTGAAAGCCAGGGATGACAATATAGTTGTTTCATCCTAGTTTGGAAATTTAAGTAGCACGCACCCAAGATTCCATCAGGGATCAAACAGGGGACTTTCAGGCTACGAGGCTGAAACCCTTGATCATTGAGCCACTTGAACCACCTCGAACCAGTGTCTTTTATTAGCGTCCACTTCATTTTGACACAGTGGACCCCACTAACCATAACTTCTCAGCACAGTTTCAGGACAACCATCCAGTAACCATCAGGGATTGGGTGAGTGACACTTATATTACGGGTTTCCGTAGGAATTTAGATTAGTTTTAATGGGGATTTTGCAACGAACCAACATCTGTTAGAGTACATTGGAAATCAAGGAGCACTGGTATGAGTCTCACTGGTAATCAGTAACATTACTATTGTTATTATTACTATTATTATCATTCAGTGGTATCAGGAATCGACTTTTAAACAATGAGTCAAAGCTTTAAGCACCATACAGCCTACTGAAATTTATTCAAGTAGTATCTTCCATTTTAACAGAATAAATGCGGTTTGTTATGTAACGCTCAGAAACATGAGTGATGTTTTGCATAGCACAAAAAACAGACAAATATATCTAAAACGAAAAATTACAGCTACCAACACAACTATTTTTCACACATCACGTTTTGTTTTTCAATGGAGAAATTTATCCATCTGTTTTCTTCCGTTACTTTTTTTTCTTTTTTATCCAATTAAAGTTGACAGACTTGCTGAGATCATTCTCCGATTGTAAAGAACAAGTTAAACGTCAAGGTGATGCAATAGAAGCCTTTGAATTTGAACAGAAAGCTTCCAGAGAAACTATATCACGTCTGTCTGGAGAAATTAATAAAGAACAAGCAGCAAGACAAGTAGCTGAAAATTCTGAAAGAGAAGTAAAACAGGTTCGACATAAAATTATCTTTAAGATGATAATGTTTACATATTATATTACGAATTTACCTTTTCTGTGTACCTTTTAAGAACTGCTTAATCGCCCTCCAATTTTAGTTGCGGTTCCCTGATAAATATTTTCTAGAACAAACTCCTCAAAAGTCCCACGCTGAATTCCTAATCATCTCTATAGACATTTGCTTTCCGTATGTACAAACAAGAGTTTTCATCTTTTGAAAGGGATTTCAAGTTTGGCTGTGGGTTTCTTTCAGGCAGAGAACCACTGACATCCAGGAAGTACCGGACAGCTATTTCATTCTACTTCAAGAATCTTCAGCAGTGAGCAGCGAATGATCGCCCCAGGACCTTCAGGTTAGGAGGTGAGCTAGTTGATCATACAGTGACAGTGAAGGAATCTACTGGCCTACCACTTCTAACATCTATCAACTTGCCATATATGGCGTGAACTCTAGTGAATGTCATCGGCGATTATTTGTCTCTCAGTTCTCCGCTGGATTTTAAGGGTTCTTTAAATGATGTCAGTTCCTGATCAAATTTAAAGTCTATGAAATCCTTGCAAACCAAGAGGTGAAAGTGATTTCTTGGAAAAGAACTTTTATTTACTAAATTGTATTTGGTCAGTTTTTCGTAATTTAGTACAGAATCACTTTTCGACATGGATATTTAATTTTAGGTAAATGAAAATCATACAGACACTAGATCTGTCTTGTTGTTGAGCACATGTTCTACACACTAAATTCAGTAATCTCATTTCGTCAATAAGATTTATTGTTATATGACATATGTCGGTGGCATAGCGGTTAGGACGCTCGCCGACTATGCACATAGTCCGGGGTTCGATCCCCGGCTGACGCACTCCTTTACCTCGCTTAGCCAGACATGATGCTGGTAAAGAGGAAAGGTTAGACATGAGGCTAGCAACCCCATCCTGTAAAATAAAACACTGCTACAGAAACTTCAAGTCACCAGCTTGAGGCCCTATGTTCCACTGGGAACGTGAAGGATAGAAAAAAATGACTAGGTTCAATAGCTAGAGAGTTTTAGTCTTCCCAGTGTTGATTTACAAGACTGAACTAGTCAGGTTCTGCTGACACATGTTTTGTTTGTGCAACCACCTTGATACTGTTTGTAGCGAGACCTTGCTATGGCACTTAAAAATGGTTATCGATGATAACAAGGGTTCTCGAGTTCTCCTATTGTGGTATCCACTATCTGGAGAGAATTATAGTGTGGTGAGAGCTGTCTGCTAGCCAAATCGGTAGACAGTAATTTACGTCAATGTTTATTTCCCAAATATTGGTCATGTGAAAACAAGAACAAAGACTGACTCATCAACTAATCACAGCAGACTTTGCGTAGGCTGGTACAATTAGCAGATAGATGAAACAGCCAAAAAGAGATGAAAGATTAACTTTCAGTGAGAAGCAAGCAATCAGAAGACTGTGTTTGTCTACTAACAATAATCTACAATAATGTACATTAAAATCTATAAATATGTGTTGATTTCCTAAATAAACGATCTGTGGCCTGGTCCTTGTCTTCTGTTGCTACAATAGTAGATTTGTTATTAAAACTAAAGTATAGTATTCAACCTCTCAAACTATACGGGACTCTTCCCTTACTGAAATGTAAGTATATGTGTCAAACCACTGCCAAATAAAAGAAACCCTAGCACCTAAATACCACTGTTGACTAGTGCAATCTTTGAAATAATAGAGAATATTTGTAGCTCAGGTGGATGATTTGCAATTAAAAGTGTTCTCTGAGCTGGTTGGTTTAGTTGCGAAGCTTTCGTCGTCCATCTGGGCAACATCTTCAGCGCCATATTTAGCATAAAGTGCAATCTTTGGCAAAGTTTTACATTCAAGTTTTAATTCTTGGTAAAGGTCATCCCAAAACTTAGGAATTGTGTATTGTTTTTTGATACTAGACCATGGTGACAATAAACATTTATTATTCGAGTCATACAAGAACTAAAGAGTGGCTTTATTGCATATCCCCATTAATTGCAGCGTCATAACCCATTGCTATGTTGATTTAATGACGACACGTTAAACTTCTATTTTGCTTTTTAAATGAAATTTTCAATTAAAATAGTTTTCTGAAGTACATAACATTGGAGGCATAATGTACTCGAACTGTATTACATTTCGTGCACCTGTATCAGAAAATGTCGTTTGATACTGAAATCTGTTCAGTGTAATCGATGAAAGGAGACAGTAAGTTTCGAAAGTTAACGAAATCCTTTAAACATCACTTACGGAAATATACGCTAAGCATACTTGGTGTACCAAGCAATTATTTCATGAAGCACATATTCAGGGATCCTGTTACACAAACGTTGCATTTATACTTGGAAATAGCGTCGAACAATGATTTTTCAAGAAGGTGATCCCAACAAAAGTCAAATAAACATCAAATTCATGTCAAATACAACTGTCTCAACCAAACACAGCAAACTAACGCTGATTCTAATCAACCAGACCTCATAAATACTCACAAGATAAGGCAGGTAGCAACAATTCAAAAAAGGGGTGTGACATATAATCGCCTGAACTGAATATATTTTAGATGTTGTTAGCCGTATAAAACTGAAATTAATCAAAATTCACATATTATGTGGAAAATAATTGGGTGTTTTTATTTATTTTTTCCTCAGATTTTATCTGGAACTTTTACTAAAGGTGTTAATTTCGTTTCAACATCCATCCTTTGCTAATACATTAATTTGCCAAACTAAGAATATCATGAATATTTAAACAAAAAGTAGAACTATCTCACTCTCCCCGTGATTCGGTATGATTAAAATTGGAATTTTGTGTTGGAGGCACAGTGGTAGAGTGCTCGCCGACCACGCAGGTGGTCCGGGGTTCGATCCCCGGCCGACGCACTCATTTACCTCGCTAAACCAGTAGTAAGACTGGTAAAGAGGGAAGGTTGGGCATGAGGCTAGCAACTCTCTTGTAAAAATAATCATCACTGCTACAGAAACTTCAAGCCTTCAGTTTGAAGCCTTATGTTCCACTTGGGACGTAAATGAATAAAAAAATATTGGAACAAAAAGTTTCTGGTTCTTCAGAAATTGAAGTGATCATGAATGGTTATCTTAAAGTCAGTCTTCCAAGTATCAGTGAGGAAGAAGCCTTAGTGACTAAGGTGGGGTTAAAGCCTGATTAAGCAGTTGGATCGTGGAGAACAATCACTACGTCAGTAATTCAGTTATCCAATTCAGTTTAAGTCATAATCTCAGCAGTCTCTAGTTTATTTTACTGAATATACCAGTCTGTAGGTAATGCTTTATAAATCATGATGGTATGGGAGGAACTTCTTGAAATATTCCACCAATTACAAAAGGAAAACACCTGATGAGATGAAGCTCAGTTTTTGCGCTTAAAAGATCAAAGCTATTCAAAAGTATGATCAAAGCATTGAGTGTTAACAGAAGCAGAGTGAGAGATATAATCCCATCTTCTTGTAGTTAAGAATCAACTTTGCTGAAGAGCATTTTGTTTTGATTGTACACTCGTAACTAGTGCGACGTGTCTAGTCCTTTCTTTGGTGCAGACTGAATTCTATCAGTCAGGAATGCAATGCGGCCACCATGCTAGGTGGTTCGCTATCAGAGTGCACTGTGAATTGTTGATATTAGATAGTTGGAGGCAATCGGCACGAAGCCTTGGACCTAGGTTTCGTGCTAGTTAGCACTCTTCAGCAAGGCGTATCTGCAGCCTTGAAGGAACTCATGTCCCTTCTGAGATTCGAACCCGAGTCACCCAGTGCCACCTGCAGTCAAAGACGTTACCACTGAGCTATTCGGGCTCGCGATCGACCTCCTATAGGACTGTAGTGGGTATTTTGATTGGACACTAGTAACTAGTGTGACGTGTCTAGTCCTTTCTTTGGTGCAGACTGACTATCTTATTATTCATCAGCTGAAGACAAAACCACCTACTTTCTGCAACAAATATGATGGTTTTATCTCTCTTCTTTTCCTGTAAATTCTTTATTCAGGAATTAAAGAAAACCACAACAGCTTATGAAAGAGCAGAAGCTCGTATTCGCTTACTGGAAGAACGTGTACAAAGTTTAACGCAATCACTTCAAGTTGCCAGATGTGATGCTGTGGAACGTGACAAACAGTTAAACAGAATAGCTGAAGTTGAATCAATGTTTCAAAATAAAGTTTATGATAGCAATGTATCAAATCATTCGTCTACACCACAGCATGATAAATATAATCAAAGTTCGGATGATATACAAGTAATCCAAAAATTTGTGTAAGTTTTATATAACATCCTGGTGTGACTTGATGTATGTTGGAGACCGGAATCGTCCGTCTTAAGGATGTTTCATTATGATTTGGGATATTGACATTGGATCTAGTAAACCAGTTTTTTGATTATTACTAAATTGTAGTATTAAACTCCTGTTTTATGATCTTTTCAGCGAACAACCTTTTCATTGCTAAGGTTTGCTGTCCTAACACATCGAAGTTGACACTTTGGTGGGAATCTATTTAGAAAACAGAAAGATTGAGCGAAGAAATATTTACTTCTCAATCAGATCCTTATCTCTGGCTCTACTCTGAACAGATTAACCTAGCTCTATGAACCAGACACTTTACCAGGTTACGTTTATATTTAAAAGGCACAAAACTCAAAAAATGAGTGTACTGACCTGTTGTTGTAAGTTTCCTATACACACTCCTTCTTAGTGTGCCATCTTCTTTCCTTGCCATGAAGACGTCTAGGAATGAGATACTGTCATTACTTTCTTTCTCTATGGTAAAGTTTATTGCTGAATGGGCTGAATGGGAATCTATTTGATTAACAGATCTCTAGTTTTGATTACCACTAGTCAGTTGTGTCAGTATTATGACTAACAGTCTAAATGAAGGTGTAATTTATAACTGGATGTTTGAAGTTCGGCTCTTTGACTTTAACTCCGGGTTTTGGTACATGACGGAAGCTTGTTTGAATCCTTAAGGTTACATGAATTTCTCTGACTTGAAGATTCTCTTTACTCATGCGTAAACATGAATCATCAAACCTTAATCCGTAATTTTCAATCAGTCTTCACTGCTACCTACATAAAAAAGAGTACATAACGTTTTTGATTTGTAACTTGTCAGAAGTGTGTACATGCACTAGGACAATAAAACTTAATTTGAAGTCAATCTAAACTTAGCAAAACTCAGCATCCACATGCATATGTACATATTTACAGTTATGGGAGGGCAATATAATTGTGTCAAAGTATTTTTTCCTACTTGGATACTTGAAAATTCAAGTTTAGGAACTTTCACTTAGAAGTTCTCAAATGAATCCGTGCAACATTATTATTATTTTGGTTTGTGAGTGGAATATAGGGATTTAGCGGCATATGAACATTTCACTCTGTTGTCTGCACTCGACAACTGCCCATGCACTTTCATTTCCTCCTCATACCATATCCTCAGTGCCACTCTCGGACGGACACCGGACTGGTCGTTTCGCGTTCGGTGCAAGATGAGCTAATATGCATGCCAAAAACACTAACTTTTTTAAAGCTATTTTCAGATGTGTTCAATTAATTTACAGAAAATTTATTTCGTATAATTCACTTGAAATATTTAAACTACACAAAGAGTTATACCTTTTATGTCTTTTTCCTGTATGTAACACAAATTTATACTCATAAGGGGGTAAACATATTTTTCTATAGAACACAATTTAAGCAAGTAAATAGATATTTCCAGTAAGTTCTCGTCAGACTTTACAACTACATAATAAAATATTAGTCGTAGACATTTGTGTGTTTGGAGGATTTCATTATGAGCTGACAACAGCTAAGGAACCAGTGGAAAATCTGGGAGTACTGGAAAGCTGTTTCGTCAGCCTAGTTTGGGACTATTCATCAACATGCACCCACTGCAAGGATTCGAACCCAGGGCCTTCAGGTTACAAGGCTGGCGAGCTCGTAGACTATTAAGCTACTCACTGGCACCCGATCCAATGGCTAGCCCATGAATTCTTTCATCTGCCGATTGATGACACAGCGCGACCACATTGCGCGATGAGTTACTGCCTCACCTTCAACGTGCTGTACCCTACTGGTCACGGCTTCTCACCAGACATTTGAAACATGGTGGATCAAGAGAATCGAATATAATCAAGTAGAATGTAAGCAGAAAGTGTATACTAGTAGGGGTAGAGGAGAAAATAACCACTGTCACATAGCGATTAGAAAATATGATAATAAACTGTGAAACTAAGATTAAAATATGCGACCATAGAACAGTATGCTATTGATAATAAAGTTATCAGTACTAATAAAGATAACATTTATAGTTATCTGGTGTCACCGGGAGAGATAACTTTCCTTGGTTGAAATTGAAGGCCATAGAAGGACTAGGGATTGAACAGATGTCTTCCGAACACAGATATTAGGTTGAAAGTTTTTTTATGGCAACTGCCTCAGCTATGCTTAGCAGTCGAAGTCGTACATACTTATGGAATTGAGGTTGGACATTGTATAGAATTGTTAAGGCTGAATTATATCAATCTTGTGCTCCTTAATCACAAGATATACTTATATGGAAATCCTGATTGACTTTACAACTCCCTTACCTAACTACATTGGGCAATGCTCAAGAAGGCGACGGTGGACTTCCTGAGTTGTTCTACCTATGTCACTGCCTCCACAAAATAAATTTATAAATGCCCATTGCAGTGGCCAGAGTCTGTAGCTTATCCTTCATCTGTATTGGAATGATACAATGAATGGTGGATTTTAAACATAGCGTTGCGGCAAAGAATGTTTTAGCCATTATTTCTCAGAGAATTTACCGAAAATACATATTTGTTTGTTTAAATCATGTTCTAAAGTTATCATAATAGGAATGTATATATATGTTTTCTTTGTAGAAATACAATGGCTTCATGGCTTTCTTTCCCACAATCAGCTGACTTATCTGTACTACTAAGCACAATTACACAGAGAATTGAAGAAATGGATGAATCATTAAAACAACAAGCTCAAGTAAGATAGCAGCTTTTGTTGTAATTCTCATTTAAATGATAAATGGAAAATAGACATATTGATGAAAGGGAGATATACTACTTACAGTATGCCATGAAAGTAGTTTGAAGCACAAGCATAAAAATTACAACTTTTTACTTAATTGGTGGATGGTGACTAGCAGTGGAATCCAGGATGCACATTTCGTCCTATTTGGGACTCGTCATCTGGATGTGAGTGCTGATGTTTCCATCGAGGTTCGAACCCAGTGCCCATAGTTTCAAACGCCAAAGCGCATCCTGGATTCCACTGCTAGTCACCATCCACCAATAAATTATAATTACATGCCCAGACATCATCGAAGCATCTGCATAAGAAGCCGACATGTCAACCTGAGACCGAACACTTCGGTCCAATCAATCGACAGGAAAATCTAAAATTCAATTAAACAACCTTTTACTGTTCAAATATGTAACAAGTGGAATTTGTGAGATGTGGAGTTTAAATATTAAGTAAGCTTAGTTTACTAAGGAATCTTGCAGTTTGTGTCTAAAAGATAGATACAAGTTTTTGTATATAGTAGTGAGACATTGTAAAGACATAGTACATAGTAAAAATGTTATGGTAACTTAGAAAACTTGTATGCAGCGTTTATACAGAACTATCTTAAATCTGTATATAAAAGTACTGAATGCTTTACTGTGTTCACGATGATTGATTGAATATTTCTTTCATTTTTAGATAGCTATACGACTTATACCTGAAAAATCCTAAACATGGTACCTTGTAGTACTGCTAATAGGGAATTTAGACTTACTCTGATAGATTTTTAAAAAATACAAGCTCTCCTTGGGTGGTTACTCAGCATTAGGTCTCAGTCAAACTTCACTCCTGGGTATCTCACTTAGAGTGGAATACAAATAATGAGCCGTGTAGTTTCTAAAAATAACTAAGAAAAAGACATCTATGGAAAGCGAAATATTTAAAGAAACGTAAAATAGAAGGAATTTCAGAGGTTGAAACAATATGGTACACACAAGCGTCAGATTTAAGGAATTTCGACGGATTACAAGATAGATTCGGTCATAAAATGAAACTGGTTTTAGCGTCATCGAGATCCACTGAACAATGGACGACCGTTCTGTCCTAATCTGGAACTGCCCAGCAATACGCACACATAAGCCCGCCAGAGGTCGGATTCATGACCTTATGATTACGAAGAGAGCGCACTGATCCTTCGTCCGTCGGGTTAGAATCCACTGAATCGTGACTTATAACATTTTTCAAACCGCGACTTGGCGCCACCGCCGTTCAGTGTCACAGACTACTATCTGACCTCCCAACCTACTTCATGGATCCCAGTGGTCACAATATCTTATTAGAATTTTGGGAAGTTAGTATGTTAGAAATAGATATTTTGGTTTTGAAAATCTTTTAATCTTCTATAGTTGGTTTGTAAGGATTAGTTTTGTTTTTACGAGTTGATCAGGGATTGATATCAGTTAGAGAACCATTGAAAACCAGGGAGTACTCGACAGCTGTTTCATCCTAGCTTGAGAATCATTGGCAGTACCCACCCACTAGGGTTCGAACCCTTACAAACCAAATATAGAAAATTAATCTGATGCTCGCTAGTGACTTGTTACAGGATGAAGTTTCCTGGAGTTCTACTGAGAAGACGTGACCAGTGGGGTCCATGCAGTCACGTGTGAGGATGGATGTCCCACCGATGGTTGGGGTCGCGCTAAATCACGAATTGGTAGAACTTGGAATTGATGGGCTGGCCACTGAATGGAGTCCTAGTGGCTGAATGGTATACGAGCTTACCTTGTAACCGAAGGTCCTGGGTTCGAACCCTGGTAGTGGCTGAGTACTGTCGATGATTTTCAAACTAGGATGAAACAGCTGTCCCGTACTCCCAGGTCTCTAATGGTTCTTTAACTGATATCAATCCGTGATCAACTCTTAAAAAAATCTTTTAATCAGTAATATTTAGTATACAAGTGAAACCAGTTAACAGTGAATTTATGATTACATTTTGATGTAATGTTTTACTCGAATTATGAATACTTGCTGTTTTGTCTAGAGCAACTACTCGGCAATTTCAAGCCTTATGTTGACTCGGAGATTCAAAGCTGCCTCACTCAGTGATGTAATCTTAAACATTACCCTTGAGTTATTCTAGGTAGCAAATCTGTTAGACTACTGATCAGCGAAAGTGTTTTAACTCTTCGATCCAGCTTTTTCCATGTTTCATAGTTTCTCTGTTTCATCTTATGCCACCAAACTTAAATGTTTTAGGTAACTGTTTAAGGATAAACAGATAGTAAAAAATTCTTATTTTTTTCAAGAAGTTTATGGAGAATCTGTGATACTGTGCTGAACAAAATCTCAGCACGGATACAGAAGGCCAGTTTTGTATATGCCAGTTAACGCCGTCTCTGGCGTAGACGTGATATCCAGCTATCGACCAAAGGGTATGTGAACTACTCAGCTGTCCGCCTCGTCATCCTTTATGGCTGTCGGCCAGACATGGCCATTGAGAGTGGAAGATATGAAAAGGCCGGTTAGCTCTCTTTGATCATAGGTGCCTGCGTTCTATCTCCCGTGTGGAATGGTATAATAGGGTGAGCAATACTGAGGTTAGGCGTTGAGTGCTAGGCGAGGAGGGGAAATCATTCGACTAGGTTGTGAAGCAGCTGCATCGAATTAGATGGTTAGGATATGTGTTACGTATGCCTAGCCATCCCCTTCCTCAACTGATGGGCAATGTTAGTTGACATAGGATGGATCAGGTTTGAAAAGAGCTAGTGGTGCTCAAACCAAAATATGGCTTTATCAGTCAATGAAATCCACAACATTTAGTTTAAGCCACGTAGGAAGGTTTAGACTTCCTGGTTGGGATCCTCGGGATGGTAGACATCAATGGCTGGAGACAATCGGTGATATGGCTTAAAATCGTCCCGAACGATGGCGCAGATGCATCCACTACTTGTGACTTATGATACCCAATAAAACTATATTGTTCTTCAATATTACTATTCTTTTCGCCTCATATCTCTGTGTACTGTCTCTATTGTGCATTTCCTTTTAATTTCTTCTTTGTGTGCTACAAGGAGGGAGTGTGGCGACTCGAATTGCTGCACATCTGTGCAAAGTTCTAGGTTGAAACCACTCAGCCGGTCATAATAAAGGAATTTTACGATAAGCTTGAGTAACGCAATCCCTGAGAAATACATGGAGACTATATAGTATATTAGTTACTCCTACTGAATTTATTCTCCTCCAAATAACTTCGTAAAGTAATTATTATATAGTAACATAGAAAACAATAAGCGACTTTAGATAATAAATTATGTCATAGATCTTCTGTCATCTGTTCATTCAGTGGTTGCGCTAATTATCTTCAAATGCACATAAATCTGATCAAATGAAAAATGCCTCATATTTGAAGAGAAATAGCTTTGCCAGATGTTGAGTTTACAATCACTTCAGTTTCTTTAACTTTGCTTCTGTCGTTTTCATATGAGGCAATTAGCTTTTGAATAAAGTACGAACAATGTTTGTCTAGAATAAGATGGTACCATCGTTTATTTCGTCTGCTTCTCATCGCCTGCTTACAGATTCAGATAAACGAATGGAATATATATATATATATATATATATATGTTTAATCCATTCCGCCCGCCATATTCTGAGAATAAACAATGTTACTATAGTAACTCATTTCTGATATTTAAATCACCTAATAGTTTCTTCTTAAAAACAGGAAGATATTTTGTATCTACTGACATATTAAGAGACTAAACACATTAGGATGTATAATTAACGTGACAGCTTAGTCTAAAAGGCTTGGAATTGACGTAATGTATATTCATATAGATGGAAGTGTTTTAAATATTGGCTCACTAACTGCTTCCCTACTACTAAATTAAATACACCGGATTATAAAAACATCTCACTTAGCGTTCACTTTAAGTTTTGCTTCATCTTCTGCGTATTTAACTAATACCTTAAAAGTCAACAATCAGAAAACTGTAATCTTTGGGCGTGAAATAAAATTTTTTTTAAAAAAAATTAACACTTAAAAATGATTGTCAGAAAAAGACTGAATCAGACAAAAAAATATATATACTAACTGACACTAACTCATTTCTAATGGATATCTCAGAGTAAAGTGACTACAGGTCGATAATTTCATTATTTACACTTTTTCGCTCCTTCGCGTTCCGAGTTGAACATAAGGCCTGAAGCTTGATCTATTAAGTTTTGGTAAGATTGCTAGCCTCACGCCCAACCTTCCTCCCCCCAGTATACCGAGCCTATGACTGGCTAAGAGACGTCTAGGAGTATGTCGTCTGGGAATCGAACCCAAACCACATACATGATTTGTGAAGATTCTGTTATTACACCACATATCACATTGTCTTTTAGTCCTTTTGACTGTATGTGTTGTAAACATTTAAAGCTCAAATTAAACTAACCATCCAGCATTCTACTGGTTTTTAATCAAACTGCACTTGATTCCACCTGTTACGCGACAATGTTTCCAGCATATAATTTTATTTCGACCTTTCACTATGTAGCTCTTGTTTGATAACATATTTGTGGATTAATAACTGAAGAGCCTGAGGAAGAATAGTTATTGGGAAAACAGCAATATTTTCACTCAAATATTTATTGTTTCAAACATACTAAATGACAATTTCCAGATTACTGAAATATACAAATACTTTAATTCTAATAATTTATACTAGAAGTTGTATAAATTACCATGTTACTTGTTTTGTGAATGTAAGGATAGAATTTAAGTAGATTAGTGACGGTGTAACCATGTATTTCATTCATTTATTTTACTCTGAGCTCTGTTAATATCAGTCCCAGTGGCTGAATGGTTTACGGGTTTGACTTATAACCCTAAGGTCCTGTGTTCGACCCCCGATGACTGCGTATTGCTGACTAGTCCCAAACTAGGATGAGAAAGCTATCCATTACTTTCTGGTAAATAAGCGTCGCTGGTTTAGTTGTAGAATACTCGCCAACCACACCTGTGGTCCAAGGTTCGATTCTCGACCGATGCACTCTGAAGCATCGCTTATCGGGAATTAAATCCGGTAAAGAGAAAATGTATAGCGTGAGGCTAACGACCTCACCCGACGAAGGGTCACCACTGCTACTGGAATTCAAAAGCTGAAGCCTGAAGTCCTATGTTCTCCTGGGGATGCTAAGGAATGGAATAACAGTAATAAAACTCCTAATATAGTACTACTGTTTACATGTTGGATTTTCTTTACTAAATCCATGTAAGAGTATTCTTAATAGTTTTCAGAGGTCTGATTTCCAGATAACCACTGATTATTATTTGATGACATCTGCAACAGAACTATCTAAAGGTTTACATATATGTATATACACCAAGTGTTGGTTTGTAAGGATCTGACTGAGTTCAGCACTGGTCCCTAACTCGTTTCAGTTTAAGAAGCACTGAAAACCAGGGAGTACTGGACAGCTCTTTCCTCCCTGTTCTGGACTCTTCAGCACCAACAATCTCATCAGAGATCGAACCCAGTACCTTTCGTTCACAAGGCGAGCTGATTGACCATTCAGCCATTGTCAACATATAAAAACTACTATTTATATTTCACTTGTATATTATTCCCGTGCTCATAAGTGGCTCACTACAGGATGAACTTGCCTGAAGTTTTGGTGGGATGTTCTTCCAGTAGCTGAATAATCGCTTCTCAGCTCTCTGAGCTAAGATCATGTGTAGTATCTGTTCTTTGCAGTGTAATTTCTGCAACGGTCTCTAAACTGAGACCAATGAAATTACCTGTATTTTTCCCTTACGGACGGGTGCTGTGAGCTTGCTCAACCCCGTCCACGGGTCGGCCTCGTATTGCATTACCTCGAGGATTGGCCCATTTATCGCTAATCAACAGGCTAGCCTTGTAATCTGACTTCAGTGCTTATCAGTGTCACCGGTGTGTGCTGATGAAGAGTGTTGAACAAGAACGAAACAGCTGTCCAGTGCTTTTTGGACCAAATTAAGATTGCTATCAATCCGATATATATTATATGTGTTATTGTTCTGTTTGATCTGTGTGGTTTTATTGCATAATTAGTTCATCTAGTTCAGAGAAAATAACTGCACCAAAAGCATTCATCTGAGCTACAAACATTCTGCTTTTTGCATTTATATGTGTCACTATGGTTTTGACCTCCATATTACATCCTTGATAATGTTAGATATCGAAAGAAATTATTCATTTAAGTGTTATATAGAATGCTAAAATCTATTTTAATTTATTTCCTAAGTTCAAATACTAATGTCTTTTCTTTTTTTGTTGTTTGTTTTATTTCCATTTTGTAAGGTTATCACAGACTTAGAAATGGAATTAACAGGTTTACGAGAGGAAAGATTGAAGTACACATCAAATACTGACATGTTAAAAGAACGTATCATTTATTTGGAACAGTATAGAGCTTCAGATGGTACATTAATTGATGAATTAAGAAGTGAAAAGGATAGAGTTAGTGTTTTTAGACTTATGATCAATTATATAGTTGAAGTATTTATATAGTTTTTATCCCATTGATACACTTTAGTAGTTTCAACATTAAAAGTTTTATGAAACGCCCTTGGTTATATTTATGGTTAACTCTAAAGGAATAGGGATAAACATAAAGTACCCCAAGCAAAGCGAACATTCTACTCACTAATTTTTGAACAATCTATCAGAACTGTCATATGCGAAAAAGGCATTACTTTGTTTCGAACATTGTTATTATAGGTAAAAAAAAATGCCAAAAGAAGTTACAGGGAACAGTAGCCTTCATTACGTTGTACAGATAACTCCCTCCCAGAGAGGTCAAACTAGTTTCCATACATAAACTCATCCAAATATCTGTAGTTAATACCATTCTGTGATTCACTTCTTACTCATATTCTCTTTTTGAACAGGACCTAAAACCCTTTGTTGGAATTTAAAACAGTTCTGTCAATGTAATCTAAAAAAATGAGATGAATGGTTACTGGTATGATGGGGGTATACCAGAGAAGATAACGGAATATTCCCTTCATTCATCCGTGTTTACTGTAGTTTCCTCTCTTACTAAATGATGGAAAATAGGAAGTTGGACAGATGTACTCAAATTCCGGAATCTCTGGATAAATCCTTTCTTTAGACTAATGTCATATGATCCAATGTAGCAAATCTGGATCGCAATTTGACGTCCATGGTTGTACTTACGTAGAACAGCTTTTATTGCATTTAACTTAGGACTAGTGGACTGTAGAAACAAGGTTATTTTCAGTTTCAGCTAGAGTAGATGTAATAGACTGACTTAATATTCAGTGCTGACAAATGCATAGTATATTCATAACTGAAAATTTAGATTTACTAAATTAGGTTCCAACAAAGCAACATACCATCTTATATAGATTTTCTATCATGGTAAGCTGTTTATCGTAAGAAATACCCATCATTCGTGTAGGGACACTTCTTTGGCATAAACTTTCCTTCATTAGCACAAATTCTACTCCGTTCTAGGAAGCCAGAATACCAGCAGTAGAGTAAAACGTATTCTGGATGAAAATGGCAGTGTAATTCACGCACTGTGATCATAATGACGAGGAAGAATCGGAATGATTATTAGGAGTCATTGGGTACGTCGTTCACTTGGTTGTGATACTTTCTGTTTACCGGAAGAGTTTGCTAAAGGAAAAAGTCCAGCATGAACAAGATGTTCACGCTTTGTTCTTCTTATAGATTTTTTTGACGAGGAATCATGCTTCCGTCGACGCCAAGCAAAATTGTGAGTCGCATCATCCTGGAGAGAATAAAGGACTCACTGGATGCAGATTTCCGACCAGAACAAGCTGGATTCAGGAAAGGCAAATCATGTTCTGACCAAATTGCAACTCTACGCATCATCATCGAACAAAGCATGGAATGGCAATCAAACCTCTACCTCAACTTTATAGACCTTGAGAAGGCCTTCCACAGCGTTCACCGAGAAGTAATTTGGAAACTACTCAAGTACTACGGTGTACCCAAAATATTCATCAACCTTATTCAACAGCTGTATGACAACGGCACATGTCAAGTGATCCACAACGGAAAACTCAGCGAGGCGTTTCGAGTAAACACAGGAGTCAGACAAGGGTGCTTATTATCACCAATGATATCCCTAATTGTGGTGGACTGGATCATGCGTCAGACAGTGGGAAACGAGAGGACAGGGATATCCTGGACCGATGTGAAGAACCTAGAAGACCTGGATTTCGCGCGTGGATGATTTATGTTTGATGTCACACAAAATCGAAGACTTACAAGCGGAAACCGACAAACTGGTCGAAGAAGCAGCCAGAGAAGACAGGACTGCAGGTGGACATAGACAAGACAGAGGTTATGAAAATAACCAACCAGCAACAACATCCAGTGCCAATCACCATCAACGGGAGGGATTTGAAAGAGGTTACTTCTTTCACTTATCTAGGGAGCATTGTCTCAACTACAGGCAGGTGGAACGGACGAGGATGTCAAATCAAGAATCGAGAAGGCGAGAAACACATTCATCAACCTGAAACCAATCTGGAAATATTCGTCACTCAGCATCAATAACAAAATTCGAATTTCCAATACATACGTCAAGTCAGTCAGTTCTTCTATATGGATCAGAAACTTGGCGAGTCACAAAGAGTGTTTCCAACAGCCTGTTGCAGACCTTTATCAACAGCTGTCTTCGTTCTATACTGAAGATTAGATGGCCGAAAAGAATCACAACAAGAAGCTATGGGAACAAACAAATCAGGAACCAATCGCTCAACAAATATGCAGGAGAAAGTGGAGATGGATTGGACACTCGCTAAGGAGGCCGCTGGGTGACAGCGCACGTCAGGCCAACGCTCGAGTGGAACCCGAAAGGAAGGCGGCGAGTGGGACGTCCAAGGGTGACATGGAGGATGTCGTGTGAAGAGGAGTTGAAACAGCATGGACTAACATAGATGCAGGTGAAAAGTACAGCAGAAGACAGAAGCAAGTGGAGACGTGTATTTGCAGCCCTATGTTCCACTAGGAACCCAAGGGATTAATAATAATAGATTTTTTTCGACGTCATTGAGTTCTTCGAGTGTCTATGTCGATCGTTTTCTTCAAATTATCGAAAAATAATAGTCGGGTGGTAGACACTATTTTAAGCAATGCTGCAACAAGTATTGTTTTCATAGTGTTTGGGATGATTCTTTTAAGGATGTCCATTGATAGATCGCCTTTAAATTCGGGGTTCATAAGCAGCATTATCTTGAATGAAGAAAATGAATGAAGTCATACTTAATAATAATCGTATTAGTATTAGTAGTAGATAAATATATTTTCTTCTTCATTTATTATAATTATAGATTATTATTGTTACCTTAAACTCTCCTGGCTTACCAGCTCATTATTTTTCTAGCCAATGCCAACCAAGGTAAAAGGGAGGGTTGGGCGTGGAGATAGCGACCCTACACCACGAAACCAATCAAACTCCTACAGAAACTTTAACACACAAAAGGTTTATTAATAATACAAAAAATTCAAAGAACGATCTTATTCTTCTCTGGAATCGGGGAGGCGAAATGACGCGGGCTGGTGAAAGCCTTGGCGAAAGTACTGGATATCTGCGAAAGCAGATGGAATGGGTGTGGATTGACGACATTGTCAATGGGAGAATCAATAATCTACTCCAGTCACCCAGATAACAACGACGAACACATCGAGGGAATGAGTGGCTATAATGATGCCAACAGTGGCCACCAGAGCCCTAATGCAGTGGGAACCAATTTCATCCAGGATCATGACAGCGAGATTCAACTCGAAAGGAAGGAGGAAAGGTCACAATTATCCAGTACTACGCACAGTGCTATAAACAACGTGAAACAAGAAAAGAAGGAGGATTTTCACAGACAACCACAAGCAGTAATGGACAGCATCCCAGATGGTGACATCAGATTTCTTATGGGCGATTTGAACGCCAAACTGGAACCTGATAATAGTGGAAGAGAACTCATCATGGATCGAGAGGCTGTCGCTTGGCAAAATGAATAAGAACGGAAAATTATTCGCAGACTTCTGCTCTTTCAATGATTTGGTGATTAGAGGCAGCGTGTACAAGCACAAAAATATACACAAAGCAACATGGATTTCGCCTGATGGATATACCCCAAACCAAATAGATTTTATCTCAATCTCAAGGAAGTGGAGACGCAGTCAGTTTGCTGGACACAAAGTCGAGAAGGGGAGTAGATGTTGACTCAGACCATCATCTCGACCTTCAAGGTGAAGCTGAAATCGCTCGAAACATACGTGGGGCAGGCCGCAATTCAAGTTCAATATTCAGAAGCTGAAGGACAAAGCTACAAGGGATGCCTTCACTACAGATTAGATCACAGCAAAGTCGGAGACACTACGTAGCATTACTGAGGAAACCTGTGTAGAAGAACATTGAAACTCTTTGAAAGTGATATTCAAGGAAACGTGTGCAAATGTTCTATGGAGAAAGAAGAGACACGACAAGGAAAGGCTCTTAACGGACACCTACCTGGAAGCTAATCGATGAGAGGAGGATAGTGAAAGAGAAGATGATTCAATCCGAAAATGGGCAAGTGAAGGAGAAGCTGAGTTGAATGTACATCGTACTGCACTGGATAAAGAAGTGAAGAGAAGTTCTAGGAAAGAGAAAAGATAATTCTACGACATACTGGCCGGTAACTGAAGCAGAACAGGCAGGCAGGTAAAAGAGACCTTAGGAGATTATATGAGATAACCAGGTCTCTATCCGGAAAGAGATCAACGCAGGTGAAAGTTATAAGTGATTTTCGAGGTGACTGGATTACCAGGGAGGAGAAACAAATAAAACAATGGGCTGACCATTTTAAAGGACTCTTGAATCGACCATCACCTGCAACTCACACAGAAATACTGCCAACATCAGACACAGAACTGCGTTCGCTTGGGTTCTGAGTGGAACATGGGATTTCAGCAACACATCTTCACTTTGGTCCATTTTCTACTGTCCTCTTCAGCTGTGTCCACGATTGCCTATGCAATCTCATCTGATCCTCACATGATCTCCTGCATGTCACCCTCAGATGACCCACCTATTGTTTCCCATTGGGATTCCACTCGAGCGATTGCCTGGAGCGAGATGTCATTCGATGAGCTCCTTAGTGTGTGCTCAATCAATCTCCATTTGCTCCCACATATTTGTTTAGCAATCGGCTCCTGGTTGGTTTGTTGCCAGAGTTTCTTCATCAAATATTTTTTGTTAATTTCAGTAGCACTAAAATTGTTAGCCACATAACAATATGCATTTTGTAACTTCATGAAGATTACTTTAAGTAACAGTCTTTGTAGAATTCCTAGAACATACATACATTACAGCAAGAAAAAGTGCGGTGTTCGTTCAGTGCTTTGAAGACCACATTCTTGGTTTCATGACCTACTGTCTATGCATTTGATCCCGTCTATCAATGCTTCTCAAACACGCATTTCAATGTACATCTTTCCCAGAAACGTTTCACAAATAATTGGGCCTCAAGGGGGTTGTACTTTTTCTTTAAATGAATGCAGAAGAGCTATAACTGTCGGGGTGATTATCTTATGATAATATAAATGAACCATCTCCTAAGGCACTGTAGAGGTCAAGCTGTTATTAGTATGAAACTATAAGTCTGGTGGAATGCTGATTAACGCATTAGACTCTTTTCAGTAATTACGTTTAAACTTAATTTGCTGGAGTATATTAGTCCACATATTACTGATTAAATATTTCATCTATTATTTTATTTAACATTATTGCTTTACAGCTACATTACCATTTATGCAAATTGGCACAGATTGTTAAAATAGAGGAACCAATAGCTGAATTGGGTGTAGAGATTTTAGGAGATACAATAGCTGGTAAGTTGAAATATTTTAGATTGAACACATTTAACTTTGATAAACCGAAATCACATATCCTAAACAGTAGTTATTCCTGTCAACTCTGTGATCAATTAAATAAACAAATGAATAAATCTTTAACGCACTAACAAATGGATCTCACTGGCATCTTATTAGTTAAATATGACTAAAAGATGCTGTTTCAGGGTATATTTTGTCATAAACCAACATAATTCGGAGTGTGGTGAGAGCTGTCTGCTGGCCAAAATTGGTAGACAGCGGTTTACGTCCAGAATCTTGGTCATGAGAAAAAATAAGAACAAAAACTAACTCAACAACCAATAACAGAAGACTTTGCGTGGGCGGATACGATTCGAGAAAACAACCAATCAGAAGACGCTGTATCTCTGTTAATAATTACGAATAATAATGTACATAAAAATATATAAATATCTGTTGATTTCCTCAATAAACGATCTGTTGCCTGGCCTTTGTCTTCTGTCGTTACATGAGAACTACTGAAGACCGAAAGGCACGAGACAGGCGTTTAATCCTAGTCTTCAGCTATTATGCAACAGTGTAGCCGCATGATCTTGCCTGATCGAGAACTTAGTATCTTCAGGTTGTTTGGTGGTGGTCATGTTGAGATTCAGTCACCCGTAAATCCTAACTTCTGCTAATTCACTATATCAATGCTGTTTTGTTGTCAGGCTTATGATCATACTGTGCACTATAATTCAAATTCGTACAGAGAGTAGTTATAAATCAAACTGCTATCTAGAAAGAATACTAACAGAGTTTATGTCATTATTGATAGTTATTATCAACTGTAAGCAATTAGTTCCAGTGAATAGCTTTTTTCAGCTGAAGGGTTTTCATCATATGAATGATAAGGTGTGTAAGTAATGTTTGCAATATAATTTTTGAAATTCCCAAACTGAACAGCCAATTCATTTTCGAAGTTGAGGTGGGGATAAAATAATAAAAATGAACGTGTTTTCTAAGTTATGTAGAAAGATAGACACAGGTAGGCGTGACTAAGTAATCGTGGGAAGGAGCTTACAGACAACTTTACAGAGGTAAATCATAAAAATGTCATTGGGAAAGTATTCACTAATAGGGAACCAGATGAATGTACACGTCAGTGAGACTTTTCCGTAAGGTAAGGTGAATAACTCAGGTCATACCATAGTAGCGATAAAGTAGTAATAATCTCCTTCTGAACACGCAATTCAGACCTTGGTGTTCTCATGACAACAGTTTACAAGAAAACTTCTTCTGTAGGTTTGATTGTCTTACTTTCAGTAGGATGAACCTCATTCCACCAATTCTCCTAACGAGTGACTTCTCTAAGAAGTCACTGCTTCAAATGCACCCATAGTCTTATCAGTAATTCTTTCAAAACAGACTCTTTGTTCAATCTCCTCCGTGTGATCGGTTTTTACGCTACAGCGACACTGGGAAACTAAATAATGCGGCTTTCATTAATGCCACACTGTTGAAAAAACCAGTCATCATCGATTATATCGAAATAGTCTGTCGACTCAAGGCTATTTCAGACGGTTTGTACATCAAATAACAAGATTCTCCTTTTCTTTTAATTCACTATAGTCATGAATGAGAAGCCAATAACTAGTTTTGATGATAAACGGATGATAACTTATCGATCATTCACATGGGCGATTGAGAATTACCCCTTTATGATTCCAACAAAATGATAAATTGATCGGTTATCACAACTCAGTTGGTACACCACTAGACTAGTAATTTAGAGGCCACTGGTTCGAATCTCGCTGAGATTCAGATTTCGGTTTCAAATTTAGTTATCGTCCGTTACAGAAATAATTGTTCGACAGTCCAAGGAGGCCTTAGGTAGTCTCAGTATGTACAACAAATTATCTGTTAAACAGCCGATTTTTGTCATGTCGCCAAATTGAGACTGTGTGAAAACAATAAGTATGAGTTAGAACTGAATACTGTTAGTATGTTGGTATAAAGTTAATTTTCACTTGAAAATTTCTTTTTGGAAGTTTCACGTTTCATATGCTAACAAGTGAAAAGGGGGGACGGCCTACAGCCTTATGTATTCTAAACATCAAGTTGATCATTCACATGAAAAGAAGACAGGTTAAAAGAAGTAAAAGAGAAGGTCGGAAATGGTGAATAGTATGTTCTTTTTTAGGTGAGACATTGAAGTAATGAGGATATAGATTTTTATTCATATCAAATCTTATGGTTTTCATTTTATGAAGGATTTCGCCTCTGTGGCTGATATTTCATTGCATTCTATTGGTGACTGGTATAATGTTATTATGCTATATTATTCCTTTGGGTTCCAAGTGAAGCATAAGTCTTCAACGTCACATTCCCATTTTGTCCTGTTCTCTGCAGTCCTCTTTAGTTGGTTCCACAACTGCCCATAGGCTCTTCATTTCTTCCTCACAAGATCTCCATGTCACCATTAGACCCACGCCCAACTCGTCGTCTCCCACTTGGGAAGACCTGGATGGTGATATCACCCGACGGTCTCCTCAGAGTGTGTCTAATCGGTGTATTTGTTGAGCAACAGATATAATAATGATAACAATAGGTACAATATGTCGCCTAAAACTTTGCAATCATTTCACCGATTATTGAATTCACCGACAGGAGAACATTTTCCTCATTCTGTTGTATACCAAAATCGTTTTCATCTCTTAATTTACTGTAGTACTAAACATTTCATTTGATTATGATTTGCCTGCACGTCATTTCTACATTTTGATTAGACTTAATCTGCCAGACTTTCAGTCATCAGTGTGTAAGAAATCCTTAACCTGTCCTTCGTTTCTTATAGTCTTCTACAGTAATAATAATCCTAAAGTAAAAACTTTTATGCTTTAAAATTTTTAGTTCGTTTAAATCAATTACAACAAGGTGATACAGAGAAACAGGCAAATCAACGTTTACAGATTACACGTTTACAACGTGAATTACGTGAAACAAAAGATAGAGCTGAATCACTCGATTTACAAATTGGTGTAATGCGACGTCGGTTAGTTGATGCTCAAGAGAATAGACATCATCAAACATTAACACCAGCAAGTAGTACACCTATGACGCTGGCTACATCAGAGAAAGAAAGACGAAGGCTATTGAAACAATTAGAGCAAGTTAAAGAAGTTGAAGAAAACTTGCGTCAAGAAATTGTTATGCTAAAGGCTAGATTATTGGAATCAAGTCAAACTAAGGTTAGTTAAATATTATATCACTTAATCTAGTTAATCTTTCTATTATATATAGACTTTAAATGGTCTAAACAATGCACATTGTGCACAACTAATTCACAGTGCAAAACAATACATTGATTCCGATAAGTTATATTCATTGGGAAATTTTCATCAGTGGTTCAAAGGTAGAGTGCCCAATAGCCACATACTTGATCCAAGGCTTGATTCCCTGCCGAAGCACTCTTTTACCTCACCTAGCTGGTAGAAAGCTCTGGAAATATTGAATGTGGGACTTAAGGCTAGCGACCACCACTACCCAGACTGGAAAGTTTAAAGTTGAAGCCCTGCGTTTCACCAGGAACGCACAGCAATGAAAAAAATAAAATATATACATCTAAAGCTTTAAATTTCATCAGAACCTAAGGTACTCTCGTGTTTATCCTTTACTTGTTCATTAGTGTTTTGGGTAACTAAAGTGGTATTTTATTCAAGAGATTTTTATAGCGTCAAGCGAATTCAAGGAAGTTGGGAGTTGAGACACAAAAGCCATCCCAGTAAATCGACAGTTAAGTTTTCACGTTTAAACAATATATGAAAAAAGCAGACAAGTAATTTAGCAAAGAGGCTTATTTTGGCGAATTCATTTTCTCTAGTTATACAGTTTTTTTCACAAAATAGGGCAGCAGTAAAAGTGATGAGTTGTTAAAAGCATAGTTGCTAATATTAACCGATACATAAGTGTTCAATAAGGGGTAAATCTTTCAGTGGATGAGTTGTAGTCAGGATGCAAATAGGAACAAAAAGTTATTTTATGTAAGATTTTGAGAAAATAGAATAAAATTAATTTGTTGAAAACGATAAGGCCATTACTATGATAGTGGAAGGGGTTGAAGAATTCTCTTTACCGTGGAGAGCTTTGGTTTACCTCCCTGAATGGCTAAAGACTCAGCAATGTAAAGTAGGTGAAAGCGTATTGCTTTGAGCAGGTCGCTCTCTGTTTTGCAGACCACTCAGAAGTGTCGACAGTGTGTTCATTTATCGCACTCTTCGTAGAGCCACTGCTTCCTTTCTGCAACCATACGGGATAATACTCTTGAACCTTTTTTAGACATAGCACACAGGGAACGATTAATATACCTGGCTCCACAGGAAAAGGTGAACTTATATATGTACCTAGAAGTAGTCACATACGAGATCTTGTCTTCCAGTTTTATGTAGAACAGTGAGCAACCAGATAACACAACTTTTGGAGTTTCTGTGAATTTTCTTCTCAAAGATGTTAAAATCATTCTCTTACAGGACATCATAAGGTAGTTCACCCTTGAAATCAAGGTTCACATAAATTTCCTTTTTGGCACTAACAATACGTCATGCTCCTGAATCTTTCCTTTGATGCTCTCGTCAATAAATCTGGATTGATATCCATTTTGGCTGAAGATTTCTTTCAGAATATATGTTTCTTCTTCTACAGCGCTACAGATGCAGATAAGTTGGATAAGAACGGAAAATGTAATGTATCAACTTCGAATTCGTTATAAATTGATATCCACTGAAGCAATGCTAAAAATTAAATTAATCCCATATTGTATCATCTTTTTCAGTGCTAAACGGTTACTTAACTGCACTAAAATTATTACAATTCAGTTTTAATTTAAAATCATAGCAAAGTAGATGAATGCGTCAGTATTATTTCCCCGTAGTTTTGATGTTGAGGTGATGACATTGATTATTTATTATTATTATTATTGTTCCCTTGGGTTCCTAATGGAACATAGGGCTTCAACTGCACATCTCCACTTGCTTCTGTCTTCTGCTGTACGTTTCACTTGCATCCATGTTAGCCAAACTGTTTCAACTCTTCGTCACACGATCTCCTCCATGTCACCCTTGGACGTCCCACTCGCCACTTCCCTTTCGGGTTCTACTCGAGCTATGGCCTGACGCGCGATGTCACCGAGCAGCCTCCTCAGCGACATTGATTATTATGCATTAACTGATTAGTAACAGTAATTCATTGCACATAGAGCTGCCTATGTAACTAGAACTTCAAGCACCAATTTGTTTTGAAGTTACCAGTGCATCTATTTGTTAGAAAGGTTTAGAAAAATCAGGGCATTTGTAGTAAAGACTGTTACTTATTGTTTCATTGTGAAGCATTTGTAGAAGTCTCCTAATAGAATGGTAGTTTTGTTGCGTATCACAAAATAAATATTTATGCATTTATTTACCTCTTAATCATATCAACAAAGTTATCGGACTAATAGGGAAATTTCCCACAAAAACGTTGATTGTATTAGCCATCATCTTCATTGATCCTCTATCAATTTCATGCTTAGTATATCCCAATGTCAGGTTGAATCTATTTACTGACTTTTTTCTGTACATTTGTGAAGTGCAAAACTTAGATTGATATTCTTTTATACACAGTTTTCACGATGGTATATAATACTAATAAGTGTACACAATTATTAACCAATCACATCAGTCAGTAATAGTTGCTAGTCAGGTCAAAGTGATCTGAACACCGGACGGCCGTTTCGCTCGTTTTGAGCCAAACCATTTTGCTTGAACTGACTGAGCCTAGCGACACGAATTAGTCCAAACTGGCTTACATTTGGCTAGCTACTTCGATGAGTTGGCAATACACGTTTTGTCTTATCATTTGAGATGAGTTGACATGTTATTCCTGCATTATTGTGATTACTATTCGCTATCACCATATAATTTCAGTCATTTATAGCTGACTGAATTAGTATCCTATATTTTGTACTAACCAGCTAAAGCATATCGCCTTCACGAGTATACTTAGTATACTTAAGATAAGAATCCTCATATTCAAAGTAACTTATAAATATCTTCAAAGTGAATTCTCAAACTTATTTCTATTAAGTTCCACTATTGTATGGAAGTGAAATTTTGGTGTAGATTTCAACATGAAGCGGATTGATAGTAGTTAGGGAATCATTAAGCACCAGGGAGTAGTACCATCGTAATGTGAAGTTTCCATGGGTGAAGACTTCTGAACAGTCTCAAACTAGAATGAAGCAGGTGTCAGATGCTGGGTAGTTTTTAATGATTCTCTTACTGATGTTTCGTGAGGAAATTCCCAGTAAAATTAATCCAAATCTCCACAAACCCCAATAGTTGATGGTATATACTTGTTTGAAAAGCCAATAAACTTCTATTCGATTAAGCCAACTGTGTTTTACCCAATTCTAATCTGTTGAGAGTTCGTCTAAAGAAATAGTATTCTTTTCAGGTTCTAACAGTTGTGAAATAAAATACCTTTAATTACAATGACAGCCATTTACGTAGTGGATACAACTTTATATAGAATAACAGATTAGCAATAAGGTGGCAAAATAAGCTGTATTAGCGTGACAAACATGGTGAACTGAATACAGTTATAAAATATTGTGAAATGCGAGACGATTATGGTGGTTTGTTATGATAGATTCATACAATATGAGGAAAGCAGATTTGCAAGTCATTTCGAGGTTGCAAAACATGTTTGTTGAGTGTCTGGAAAAAATAGCACTCATTGAAGAGGAGAGGAGTATACTTCGTTCAAAATGACTCTTAATTCACGATATGGGTATATTTCACACCCATATATCTCGCAATTTTTTTTCTATGTTTGGGGGGGAATGGGGGGTCGTTTTCGTAAAATCATTGGTACCAACCAGTGTTTCTTGAAATTCGCGATGCATTTCTTGAGACACATAGTTAAGAAGATTTGTTTTACAACTTCTGTTACTCGAATCATTGTGACAGGTAATTGTAGATTTCCACTAATATTTAAGAAAAACCTATGAGTTTGTGAATATTCATCTACAATTTTTCATCATACTTATTGTCACTTTAGCAAATGTGAATATTATTATTCGTATTCGCCTCTTGGGTTCCTAGTGGATTTTAGGGCTTCAGCAACACATCTACATTTCGGTGTGTTATCTGTAATCTTTTTACTTGGCTAAACTATTGCTCACAAGCCTTCATTCTCTTCTCACCCAGTCTCCACCATGTCACCCTCAGGCGCACGCTTAACTCATCACTTCCTGTTTGGGTTCCACTCGATGGACTATGTGCCCTATGATGTCATTCAATGTCATTCTCTGTACATGTCTAATCCACTTGTATTTCCTTCTACAAGTGTGCTACTGACAAGATATATTAGTAGTATGTAGATATAGATATAAATATGTATGCCATCTGCAAGAATATCGATTGGTGAAGAGATGGACTTAATGAATGATGCTTGTAAACCGACATAGAAAAGACGAAAGCAAGACAAAGAAGCCCACTACGGAAGACAAAATAGTACAATACCGAAGATATATGCAAATTGTGATTCTTATTTATGAAAGATATATTTCGCCTGTATCTGTACATCGAACTGACAATAAACACTTCGGTTGCCACATACTCATTTGTTCTACCGTTACATGTTCCATAATTTCACTGTCTATTTCAGAAAAGAGATACACATTTAATGTCTTTTTATCTTTACATATCATGAAATAATAATGAGAGATGGAGTGGAAACACTGCCATACTAAAGTAATCAGTCATCAAAATTTCTTGTTTAATACCACTCCTGTTTTAAACGGCTTTTTATATTCATCAGTACAATCCAGTAGGAGTGCCCATCTTAGAGCACAAATATAGTTTGAGCTTATAAATTACTTATTTTGTTATTGCTAAAATCTATTTCCTTAATCTTATAAATACTCCTTTCTCCCCACACCTCCTTTTATATAGTTAGCAGAAGTGAGTTTATCAAAAGCCTTACGTGCTGCTCAAAGTAAAGTTGATGAACTCACTGTCCTGTGTGATAAACGTGATAATGAAAATAAAAAGTTGGCCAGTGAATTAAATGAATTCAGGAAACATTCAAGTCGAGAAATGGTTAGTCAAAATGAAGAATTATTAAGATTAAGACAAGAAGTAAAACATTTACAAACTGCACTGAATTGTAGTCGAAAATCTGAAGAAAGTGTAAGTATTTCCTATTATACATATATATATGATCATTTTAATAAATCATTGGTAAAATCAAACCAACTAGACGAAAGTTCACTGTCTAGAGTGTTTCATCTCTAGCACTGCCTCTTTCTAGCACTGCAAATGTAGTCACGTATTCTTACCTCATAAACTGAAGGTCCTAATCTTTGATCCACAATGGGAAAGTTGGCATATATGACTGAAGATTCCTGAACTAGGATAAAACAGCTGTCTTTTCGTAGGGAAATCTTCGTTGAAATAATATCGAAAGTGTTGCAAAATCACCTTCACGGATCACGAGTCCTCAACAGTTTTAAATTGTTTGTCTTTAAGTACAAAAATGTTCCAGTTGTGCTTGCTATTGATGAACTCAGTCAACTCTGAATGGGATGAACAACTATTCACTGTTTAAACAGCCTCAAGGCTATCTGTTAACTATAAATTCTAAAAAAATGATCAATAAATAATCCAATATTTTTCATCTATAAGCTGTAATAATAGATTTGATTAGAGATTAACTAGACCACATAGGAATGTATTACGGGAATTTTCATTGCTAGAATTAAGAAGAGCACTTTAGTCAGTTCAAAAGTATTTGAAAGCCAGTAATGTCTTCAGTTAAATCAATGGAAACCTTTTCTTATACACACAAAGAAATTAATTAAGGTTTTCGATTTTCATGCGTGCTGATTCTGGTGGATATCAAGCTTCTTTTCACGTCAAATCCAAGTAATTTAGTAACCAGTATTTATATAAGATGTTTGTATTACATGTTACGATCGAGAAGTGGTTGGATTCATAGTTCGATTTTACTGAGTTTTGTGATTGCGAATAAAGCAGTATTTGACATCACATAAAGATCGTTGGACTTTAACGAAATGAGCTGTTCTTCATTATTTCAGCTCGATTCGGAAAAATTAATATGGCAAAATGTATAGATGAAGATAAGTGTTCCGCTGAAAAGTGTTTTTAAGCCATCCCTATTACTAGCTGAGTTTGTAGAGAAATTGTTTCCAATGCAAACAATCCTTTTTCGTCCTAGTTTGGGACTCTTCATCAATACGCACCCACCGCAAGGGTTCAAACCCAAGACCTTCTGGTTACGACGCGAGCTCGTGGACCATTAAGCCACTGGGACCTAATCCAACAGCCCATGAATTCCAACTTCTGACAATTCACGACATAGCGCGATAATACTTGAATATCAATGAAAGACTCGCTAACGACTGGCCGTATTCACATAGGTAGTTGCCTGGGTTCTAGTGGGAAGTCGTGACGAGTAGGATACAGAAGGTTGGATGTGAGGAAAAATACTGGCCAATGTTGACATTCTCTAGTGGTCGTACCGTGTCATGAATTAGCAGAAGTTGGAAATCATGAACTGGCCATCGGATCGATTCTTAGTGTCTTAATGTTCTACGACCTTGCTTTGTAACCAGAAGGTTATGGGTTAGAACCTCAGTAGGTCTGCGTTGCCAAAAATTCCTAAACTAGGATGACAGAGCTGCCAAATACTCTTAGGTTTTACAACGGTCCTCTAACCGATGTCAGCTCATGGTGAAATCCTGTAACCAATCAATCAAATCCCTACAAACCAATACGGGAAAATCGTTTTGGAGCTGAAAATATATTTCACATTTTGTGGCAAGCTACTGAATTATGAAGAAAAGTAGTATCTTGACAAATGGCTGAATAAAAATAAATAAGTACTTTTTCAGTATCGGATAGAAATTAAAAATATGTTTATATAACTGAAGTGAATTTAAATTCATCACACCAAATTTTGGAAATGTGTCAGTATTAGGGAAACTAGAGAAGAAGTCAAATTGCTTAGAAGTTAGGTGTTATCTAACATTCAAAATCAAGTTGCTGTGCCACATATGTGTGTCATTCAACCTAGTGTTCGGTCATTTCCACTAAACTAAATTAATAAATTTTCAACCTTGATAGCGATTATTTCACTTATATAATTAATTATTAGGGAAATTAGCCCTGGCCTGAATGATTCAGCGTCCTTAACATTCGGTAAGAAGTACTGACCTTATAAGTTTGTAGATGCTTCACAATGACAACTGGACATAAAAACGAAATTTTTACACTAACTATAAACGCCTAGTGACTCATGTACAGGTGACTTCAAATATGGTACATCCATTCTACAGTAAAATATCTTCGGATGATTTACAAACTAATCTGAGTATAAAACGAGATTCGTTTAGTTGACAGTTATTATCAGTATTTTAAAAACTTATGTTTTAAGAATATTTGTTTAACATCTTTTTTAAAATATTGATAAAACGTGTGAAAAAATGGATCTTGAATTCTAGTGGAATACATGAATTGTGACTTACAGATCGCCAGATGTTTAGTGGGCTGATCTACATTCTTCTCTATTTGTGTAGCATCAACTATTATCGGTGAGTATTTGTCCTACCTGGTTGGACTCAATGGTCACAACTTTTCGCTAGAATTCCGGTAACTTAGTCAATCACTAGTGAGCATCAGATTAATTTTGAAGATCTACTTTGTGGAAATTTGATTCATTTCAAGTCCGATCACAGATTGTTTTCAGATAGAGAACCATTATAGATTGAAGGTCATGGGTTCGTTCCCTAATAGGGTCGTGGATGCGTACTGCTAAAGAGGCCTAACCCAAGATGAAACAGCTATCCTATACTCTCTGATTTTCACTGCTTCTTTAACTGACATTAACCCTTCATCAAACTTGAGAGAAACGCGTCCCTACAAACTAACTCTTGAGAATCAGTACTAATTGAACTGTATGTAAGATTTTCAATTAATAGTGTTCTCTGAGCTGGTTGGTTTAGTTGCAGGGCTTCCGTCGTCCTTCTGGACAACATCTTTAGCGCAATATTTAGCATAAAGTAAACTGGTTTAAATTTTTCATGAGTGATATAATTGCGTCTCCTAGTAACTATTTTCTACTGACTTGGATTTTAAACTTTCTGGTCACATGATCTACTTTTTTTATTAGTTGGTATATTTGGTCTATATTAACATGTTTGTTAATTGCATATTCATTAGAGTACCAGGCTTCTAGGAATTCTCTGGCACTTTTGGTGTTTCCTCTGTCTAAGGTCTCGACATTATCCCAATCAAACTGACGTCCATAATTGTCTACATGCATTGATATGAAAGAATATATATCGTGTCTTTTCACGGCTGATTTGTGTTCCTGGATTCTGACTCGAAGGGGATGCCCACTCTGGCTGATGTAATGCTTGTTACAGTTCATACAATTTATTTTCCAAATGGTATTAATCTTATCTCCTTTTTCTGTTGGATCTTTCGGTTTTCATAATATCGAATTAAGCGAATTGACTGGCTTGTGTGCTATATCTATATCAAACAGTTTCAGTATTGTAGCTGTTATTTCAGAGATATTTTTCATGTATGGTAGGATGAATTTTCTTGTGGTCTTTGATGATGGTTTCTTGTTGGTGTTATGATTCGATTTTAAACACTTTTTGATGAAATTATGCGGATAACCATTCTTTTTGAAGACTCTTTGTAGGTATTTTTCTTCCATTCTTTTCAACTCTGGAGTGCTACAGTGTGTTTGAATTCTTTTAAACAATGTCTGCACACAGTTTCTCTTGTGACTAATTGGATAATTGCTAGTATAGTTGAGCATTTAATCTGTGTGCGTTGATTTTCTATATTCTTGTGTTTCTAAATTTCCTGTGATGGTTCTCTTGATTAAGACGTCTAAAAATGGGATTTTGTTATTTAATTCTTCTTCTCTTGTGAATTTGATGTCTTCAAATATTTCATTCTTTTTCTTTTCTTTTTTTTTAAAGCTTCTTGAATTTCGTAGACTTGTTGCAATTTATCTTGGATTAGATAATGAACAATTAACAGTCCCAGATTATGAAATACTAACACACTTGGATCGTTTAGTCTCAGCTAATCAATCGCAAATCGCAAATGCAGTGGCAACTGAAAGAGCAATCAATTTAGTGACCGGTAATACAAGACCTAGTAAGTCTACATCTGTATTCATAACAGTAGTAAAAATAACTTTGTTTGTTGGGTGCGTTCGGATACGATTTGTTTTGAAGATGTCGCCAAAAATGCAATTATGTGAAAAATTACTGTTTGTCTTCAACATGGATTCATGGTTGGTTTTGGAAGTTACCAAAAGCGACCAGGGAATCCCAAACCAATTACATAATGGTAATGTGCTTGCCTTAAAATGAAGAACTACTCAGTTCGATGCTTCTTGAGTCCATGTGTGCGAGCTGTTAAGGCGTTCGAAATGGGAGCAAGAACACTGTCTAGTGTTCTTAAGTTTTCAATAATTCTTTTACAGATATCATGTTATTGTGTAATCTGTTCCCTGATATTTGTGAAACTTTACATGATTCCGTGGATATATTACAACCGATGCTGCATTAGCATTTAATTTCCCTTATTCTAGTAGGGAGACATTGATGATGCTCTCACGTCAATCTAAATTCATGCATTTGAGAGTAACTAACAGATTTTGTTTTGTGTGTAAAAGATGATAGTGGACTTTTCGTAAAATAAGTTTATTTGAAATGAAATTAAGTGACAACCATGTCTTTATAGCTGCTTTTAATGTTAGTTGTTCTGAACATACCTCATCCTCTGCTTAAATAGCTTTGTCAGAACTGTCTGAGTTCATGTTGTGATGCAAAGAAATAACGGGACGCTTAAAACAACAAGAAACAGAGAAAGGTAGACGCAATATGTTGAATGGAAATTTAGGTGGCCGTGTGGTTTAAGCATACCACCGGTGTACCCCAGATAAACAGCAAAAATTACTGACAGGGGACTCACCGCATCCATAAAATTTAATTGAACACTTTAATAAGGTTTCAATGCCGAAAGAAATACAAAAATATCACGTCACAGTACATAGAGACACGACCGAACATCATGAGAATACAAAATTTTTTAAAAGGCAAGTAAATATGCGAAGTTGTTGGAGGACGCCTGGAATTTATGATGAAAACTGAGTTGATTAATTGAGCTTTATTACTTCGAGGAAATTTCGGTAATAAATTATAGGCACGACACTGGATACACGAATTTATTCACAGTAGTTTTATACAAGTAGGTACGAAGTTTAAGGTGCTGGAACCATATCTTTATCAATAGAAATAATCGACAGCTAACCGGGAACATGCATAGTAGAAATTTTTTGTCATGCCATCTAAAAACTAACCTACCTTTGTTCTTTCAAGGCGACAAAGATACATCTGAATGAGTTTTTGAGTCGACAGCTTCACAGATTTTAAAATGCTTTCCAATGTGAGATGATTGGGAAATGTAAGTACTTTGCATTTCCAGAAAGTTACTCACTTATCAAAAGAACAATAAGTTGCAGAATTATTCGTAAGAAATTGAATCTTTAGACAGTGCTGTCGCACATTTCCTTTCCCATTGGCCTTCCCCACACTACTGTAGATATCCTTTGCGATAACTAACCACAAAGTATTTTTGACTGGACACTAGTCAGCAACTAGTGCAATGATAAGCCTAGGACTAGACAAATTACACTATTTACTGACTGGCGCCCAATCAAAAATATCCAATACAGTCAGCCCTAGAGGAGGTCAATCGCGAGCCCAAATAGCTCAGTGGTAACGTCTCTGACTGCAGTACTCACTGGGTGACGCAGGTTCGAATCTCAGAAGGGACATGAGTTCCTTCGTGGTTGTAGATTCGCCTTGCTGACCAGTGAGTGACAAATAGCACGAAACCTAGGTCAAGTAAGGCTTTCTGCCGATTGTCTCCAACCATCTAATAACCACAGAGACCCCAGCGCCACCGTTTTCTGCCTCAACTCCTGTACACTTACCAAATCTACAACAGCTTGGAATCGTTTTGAGTATATCCTTACTTCTGCATCAACAAAAACCTGAACCTACGGCAATTTATTTGAATATCACAATTTGTTCTAAATAAAGTGATATTATGTTAAAGGTTATATTATATTTAGTGTAACTAAATAAATTATCCCGTTGAACTCTTACTCCACTTGTTATTGATTTCTTTTAGACATCATTGGTCATTACAACCGGTGACAGGTACTACAGATTCAATCTTCAAGGATGTCAACGCATTTTGCTGCAAATTTTGTTATACTTAATACATGAAAGAAGAGGAATAAATAAAGACAATTAACTCAGCAGTAATCATAATAATAATAACAACAATATTTGTGTATATTCTAAATGTTTATAAGTGTATATGCAAAATATAATTATGGTATTTATATTATAATACATGTGATTGACTCTTTTTTTAAAAATTTCTAGTTTTTTGATTGAAAAAAGACAGATTTTGTGAGGTATAAACAATAACTAAAAATTTAGATTACGAATATTTGTAAGGATTTGGATTGATGTCAGTTGTTAGATTTTGTCACGAACTACCATGATCTGGAGGTTCATGGAAGCTAAAAATCACCAGACAGCTGTTTCGTCCAAGTTCTGACAATTCAACGGTGCACACACACTACCCCCGCAGCAAAGCAGTGCTCGCTAACAATTCTCTGTGTATATTTGATGAAGAAATGGTGGGTTTAATGATAAAGGAATGTGCAATTAATCAGAGTGAAAACCGTCTGATTGGCTTCCAAGGCTTGGATGTAGACCTCAAGGTAATATCTAGATTTCTGTACGATCAAGTTATCAACCTTAGCCTACATCCACTGATTCATGAAAACTTAGTCTATAATATGCCACTTGTGTAAAACTGAATAACCTCTTCAGTTAGGAAGATGGATTAGTTGTATCACTTCGAATATAGCGCTGATGATTTTTGTATCAAGTTTTATTGGTTGGACTGTTAGATCATGGGCTGACATCAGTTAGAGAACTATTGGATAGCCTGCCGAGAGTACTGGACAGACGTTTCGTCCTATTTTTGGACTCTTAGTTAGTACTCATCAAACGCCAGGGTTCGAACCCAGGACCTTCTGCTTACAAGACTAGCGGGGTCGTAGACCATTAAGCCACTGGGATCCGATCCAATGGATCATGAATTTTAACTTTTGCTAGTTTTAGTTGAATGCCATAGGATTTCTTTTCAAATGAATAAAATTCATGCTTACTCCAGATAGTCTCTACTAGTTATCATTGTCGACAAAGTACCTTTATTGATAATGATTAAATCTCTACTTCCAAGGTAAAAAAAAACAAACAGATAAATCCCTTAAATGAATAACTATATTTCAAAATGGAATGAACTTATGCTTTCACACTGAAACGTTTTTAGGTGGAAAGTGCCTAAAATAAACTAGTGTAATACACAATACTGCTATATACTTCAATGTTTATCGACTGGTTATATACTTGCTGACATATGTAGTTAACCGTTTCTACTATCGATGTAAATTTCAAATTTGATGGCATACTTTACAGAGAAGTGGATGGGATGGCAATGGGCTCTTCATTGGCTCCCATTTTGGAATACTTCTAAGTAAACTAGAAAATGGGCCTTTGAACAACCTTATCAGGAAATTCTTATTTTATTACCGGTATATGGATGACACATTTATTCTTTGTGATAATGATTCGGATAGGAACACAATAATAACAATTCAATGAAGTACATTCTGCTATGAATTTCACGTGCTAAGAGGAATCGCCTTCGTAGATGTCCTCCTTACAAGAAAACCAGATAGTAGTATTAAAGAGAAATTTGCATAGGAAAAGAACATGGACAGGACAATATACACATTTTCGCAGCTTCGTTCCTATCCAGTACAAAAGAAATTTGGTGAAGGCCCTCAGACACAGAGTTAGAGCTGTATGCTCAGAAGACGTAAGTGAGGATGAACTAAGGATTATATACGACAATCTAATTGAAAACAGCTATACAGAAAAGTTCATCAGTATACACATGACCAAGAAAACAGTAAAGAACTATTCTCTATCTGTAAATAAGAAGCATTCATATATGCGACTGCAATTCAACGATGATGCATGCAGTAAATTAATTACTAACAAGTTGAGAAAATCTATTCAAAGATCTTTTAACGCCGGTAAACTACAAGTCATGTTTTCTACACGACCGATGGTGATTCCCCGATTAAAAGATGAAGTACCTAAACTAGACTCTTGTAATTTTATCTACCAATTCAACTGCGCTAGTGGAGCAAGTTATATCGACTGTTGTTCTAGGAACTTAATGTTTCGTGCTTGAGAACATCTCCCAGTATGGATAATTAAAGCTGTTGTAAAAACCACTTTCACAGCTCGGAATTAGACCATTTGGTCCAAACCGGCCACAAAGCCAGGATTGAAAAATCCTACTCCATCATCTATCAGGTACCAAATAAATTGCCAAATACAACGAGGTAACGCATACTCCAAACATCGCGATTCGCGTGAAACAACCAGTGCTCTGTGTACAAAAGAAGCAAGTCCAGCCACTACTACTGCCACCCTGGCCGGCTTTCAGTAGAGACTATAAATTCATGAATTTGTATTATTATCTTTCCTAATTTTTCTGATATTCATGATATTAATGCTATCGAACTGTAATCTATCCATACTGTCATTACTGATTCGATGTTATTTAAACAACATTAGTATTGTTAATAGCACTAATTCATTCACTATTATGTATATATAACTGTAGAACAAGAGGATGAAGTTATCAAAAAGAATATTCTTTGTTCACTAACCATTCTTTTAAAAAACATTTAATGGGCATTTTTAATTATTTAAAACATGTATACTTTACATTTATGGATTACGCAAGGATTGGTGACAACCTCCAGGTCAATACGTAGTAATCTTCAAAGTTTCTAAAAGCAGTCTGCTAACTGGTTAACTGGAATATTGATATTTCTTGCCCTCCATGGGGTGCTAGCATTGGTTGTTCGAAGGTAGAATGCTGGCTAACCACGTCACTAATATGGCTTTGATACTCGACCGATGCAGTCGTAACTTCTCTCTTGTTTATCAGGCTTTCGTAAGCCTGGGGAAAATGGAAGGTTGAGTGTGCGGTTAGCAAAGCTGTGTAGTAAAAAACAACAAGAACGCCACTGAAATCTCGGGGATGGTTGAAGCCATATTTTACGCCTGAATCGTAACGCACGACGAAAACTGTTTAGTTGAAAAGAATTGCAAAATCACACTTTCAGTTACGTATCCTTCATCCAGCACACATTTTTAGGCTGATTTGTTGATATAATTTGTTAGGTAGTTATTAGTTTTGGCAATAACTCGAGTTTCATAGCTAATACTCTCTGCTATAAGACGACCGGCTAACTTTTTGTTGAGTTATGAGAGCTTTAATAGCTCTACAATGTGTAAAAAAGGTTATTTTTCTTCTAATCCTGTCCAAATACATCCCTCTATAAAATGCTGACTAGTTCAGGTTGTGATGTATTTGTAGTTTATAAACTGTTTGAACAAAAATTATTAGAAATCAATCCAGTAAACTTTTAAGCAACTTAAGAATTGTCAAAGTATTTCAAATGTAACTTTCATTATGTCACCCTAACGACATTTAGATCAACCATACTTTCTTCACAATTTGGTGTAGTTGTGTTCTTTCACATGAATGCTTTAACTGCAAAGCATCCATTCTCTTTCTATACAACATTTCTAACACATGCCTCAATATGAAAGTCAGCTTTTAGAATTCTGAATGTTCACAATCACCAGGATCTTGTATTTTACAATTTCTTAATCAAATAAATCATAGTTTATAACTTATATTCAGTGAAAGATTAAGTTTTTCACCTGTTACATAAACATTCTAAATATTGTTTGCTTCATTCATTCGTAGAATGAAATTTAAAGCGACTAGTAATTTAAAATAAGCGCCATTTTTAAAATTCACGAATAAACGAATTAAAACAAATTGTTCGGTTAATATTGAACTAAAGAATATACAAATTATTGACTAGCTATTGTTTTTGTTAAAGTTATTGAGAATAAATGTAATTAATTACTGTAAATAGCTTAAATGGAGATCCCTCCTTATATTGTACAACACTGTATCCATCCAAACAAATTAATTCGATTAATGTAAATTTACAATGATTTTATTTGTAATGTGTAATATGATTTCGCGTCCACTGTTAGTTTGACTAAATATTGCGCTATGTTACGACCTTATTTACTGAATAATTTGTTCATTGAATGCATAATTTTTAATTAAATTGTTTATAGTCTTTGAAAGATAAATTATTTCTACTATGTATATTTCTAACATGTCTTTGCATATTTGAAGATATACTAAATAGTCGATCACAATGTGGACATTGATACGGTTGTTCTCCAGTATGCGTACGTATATGTCGATTTAAATTAGCTGCACGTGGAAATTGTTTATAGCATACACTGCATATATAATGATTTTCATATATTAGATTATTATTATTATTAGCATTATGATTAGTCTGTGTAACAGATAACTTTTCTAAATCATACGATGAAGATGAACTGGATTCATTTAAATATCCGCTGGAAATGTGTTCCATATTCCTAGGTTCAATTACTTCACTGACTTTTCTGGTTTCTGCTTGTTCATCAATAGGTTTTGTAGATTCTGTCCAATATTTTTTAGCTGTACACATTGCAAGATTGACAATTTCATGTAAATAGTGAATTTTCTTATCATAAGAATTATCTTCCAAAGATGTAAATTGGTTATATTTCAGATTTGATTTAATTATTTGTTTATTTGTACTTTTAAATGAGGCATTCAATGTATCAATGAAGTCAGACTTTTCTTCAATTCTTTGCATTTTATCGGGGACAATATGGGATTCATTTTCTCCGTCCATTTTCTTTGATATACTTGAGTCTGATAAGTCTAAAGGATGCAAAGAGTTTTCATCTTTCGAAATCTTGCTGGTATCCAAAATGTTATCTTGTTTCTTCGAAGAAGTTTCTGTTGTTTGCCTGCCATCTTTGTATGTGGCGCTAAATTTCAATTTCAAAAGTGATTTAAAGGTATGATATTGAATAACAAGAAATATATTATGCAAAATAATCTATTATAGATAGTGATAGGTAAAATGTGTTGATAATTTAAAAAATTCCGGGAAAAAGAAAATTGATCATTCAGAATATGTATTAAAGAACCACTTGTATTTATAGCATGATTGTATTGCAACAGAATATACGCTTGAGAAATCCCTCCTGAACGTCTTACTGACGATAATCCTATTTATTTGAATATTTCAACGTTTTCACTGACTTAATCCTTATTATTTGTCCTTGGTCCTGTTAAATCTCTAATTTTATTGCGTCTCTTCGTGGTTGTGTGATGATACTGATAATGTATTGTTTTAAGACTGCCATTTCGTTCAAGTGAAGTCAAGGCCATTTCGAGCTTGAACTGTCTTTGCTAATGGTTCTTGCTGACAAAGTTTTAATCCCACTTTATTGGGGATATTCTACTGGATTATCAACTAATTCTTACGGTTGATTTTTAGCCAACTAATTTTGTTTTACCACACTTGTTTTGTTTTGGAGAATTCTCTGATCTGTACAACTGCCTAATAGCATTTTCGGGTTTTTGATATTATTATTATCACAGATTTTATAACAACTGTCTTTTTACTGTCTCCGGCGCACTTCGGAAGTGTGAGTAAGTCAAGGAGGTTTTGGTTAGCTAAACAGTAAAATGTGAAGATTGGTTTAGTAGAGTTCAGACCACAACGCGTCAGTTTTAGTCCTCACGAGTATATACTACTGAGTAGAAAAATTGTTGTGAGTTGTATAAATTTCTGGCCAGTTTTGTGTCTAATGGTAATTGTCTCATTCAAGTGTTAGTTTTCAGGGATTTAATTGGTGTCAGCATTTCATTATGAACTGACATCGGTTAGAGAACCATTGGAATTCCTGGGAGTACTGGGACTCTTCACAGTACGCACCCGCTGAAGTTCGTACCAAGGACCCTCGGGTTGCAGAGCGAGCTCGTAGGACCATTAAGGCACTGGGACCCAATAGAATATCCAGTTCATGAATTCCAATTACTGCTATTTCATGATATGGCGTGACCACTACGGAATGTCATTGCTGGAGAGTATTTGTCCTCACACTTGACCTACTGTGTCATACTGGTCACCACTTCCCACTAGAAACCAGGTAACTACCTACCTGAATAAGGCTAGTCACTAGTGAGCATCAGATTGATATCCAGTTGTTGGTTTGCAGGGATTAGATTCGTTTCAAGATTTCATCATGAACGGATTAAAGGACCGGATAACTTTTCAACCAGCAGAAATCTGGCAATATACTTCAACCAACTTTCAATACACATAGTCGGATGTTATATCTGAAAGTCATGTGTGGCGGAATGAAAGCTTATTAGCAGTCATAGAGCCAGATAAAGAGGACTGCAGAAAATTGAGTGAAATGGCGACGTGTTAGTGAAGCCTTAAGCCCCACTCGGAAGACAAGGGGGTAATAATAATGGTGATTTCCACTTGTTGGCTAAGAAAGAAACTGTTACATCTCAACAATAATAAGTGTATTTAGGCTTCTTTGATAGCTCAGCATAACTTTGTACACTAGACAATTACTTCTATTCAACACTAGGTAGTAAGTAACTGGTATAATGCGTGTAGTTCTTCGTTTGGTGCACAGTGAATTCTACCAGACAACCTTACAATGTGGGCACCATGCTAGGTGACTTGCCCTCACGAAGTACTGGAATTTTTATCAGTTAAAAACCATACTACTAACAAACCATAAGTAGCGCAAAGATTCATGAGAACTTTTGGCGTTTATTTTTTCATAGTCAAATGATAGGTGGTTTTCAACAGCTGACCTAAGAGAAGGACGCTAAACTGAACTTTTCCCTACACATTCTAACGAGATTTTTGACTGTGTTACTTTAACTGAAGAGTTTAAAATATATATGGTAATGTAGTTCAGGTTCTCAGTTAACCCAAAGATTCTATGGAGTATACAACTTCATAATTCGAAGAAAAAGAGTGAAGAGTGATTGAGCGGTACACATTTGCTCCATATTAGACAACTTTACTTAGTAAAGAACACAATGATACTATGTTAACAACTGGGTGACATTTTGAGCACAATGAACTGCTCATAGTTATATCGGTTGACTCACACAACTTCTTAACTTGCTTTATAAATTCTTCTGCTCCCTGTTTCCCAATGGAATTTCCCATATTTCATGGATATTTATTGTATCATTCCGATTGCACATATTCGGTGTTGATTCAGTACTTAGGCTTTTTGATGCTTTAATGAGGTTGGCATTTAAACCACCCAACTAAATCAGAGACAAACTTTGTCGGATTAAGGAGCTGATAGATCTGATTCTGGTAAATTAATATAATTTACCAATTAGTATGTAATGGCTGTGAGATCAGTTACATAGATCAAACTAGTATTTCGAGCAAGATTAGGTGATCAGAACATAGCAATTCAGCTAGTTATACAGTGGCTGACCCTGCTTATTCAAATAATTTCAAAAGACTGATTACTGAACAAACAAGATTCTTTTCGATAACTTCATCATCAGCTCCTACAGTTATATACCCATAATAATGAAAGAATTAGTGTTATTAACAACATTATTGTTTAAGTGACATCGAATCAACAATATCATTAGATTACAGTTCAACGGCATCTGTAAGCGGGGTAATATGCACCAAAATAACACTACACTGGACTTCAGACAAATTAGGAATAGTAATTATACGGAATTCATGAATTTATAGGCTCTAGAGAAGGCCAGGGCAGTAGAAGTGGCTGGACTTGCTTCTTTTGCACACAGCACAGATTGTGTAAGGCGAGTCCCGATAGCCTTTGCTGTTTGAAGTATGCGGTAGTTGGATGTTTTTAGCAAATTATTTAGTACCCGGTAAATGATGGAGAAGGGTTCTTCAATGCGATGAATTTGCGGTTGGTTTGGATCAGGTTGTCTAACATCGAACTGTTGATAATTTTGACTATACCCTTACTCAACCACACTGGGAGATGTTCCCGAGCGAGCACGAAGAATCAAGTTCCTAGGGCGACGGCCAATATAACTCACTCCACAAACGCAGTTGAATTGGAAGATACAATTGGAAGTGAATAATATATGTACTTCATCTTTCAATTGAGGAATCACCATCAGTTGTGTTGAAAACATGACTTGTGGTTTGCCAGCATTGAAAGTTCGTTGAACAGATTTTCTCCACTTGTTAGTAACTATTTCATTACGTGCGTCACTCTTGAACTGCAATCGTAGGTATAAAGGCTTCTTATTTACATATGGAGAATAGTCCTTTTCTGGTGTTTTGGTCATGTGTGTCCTGATGGACCCTCCTGAATAGATATTTTCAATTAGGGTGTTATATACAATCCTTAGTTAATCTTGGATTACATCTTCTGAGCACATAACTCTGACCTTAATTGTTTCATTATTATGGATATATAACTATAGAACCTGATGAAGTTATAGAAAAGAATATTCTTTGTTCAGTAATCAGTATTTTGAAATATCTTATGGACATTTCTGATCAATCTAAGTAATTTAGCAAAATGCTTGACTGTCGCTATGCATGTACTTGCATCCAATCACAGTGTGGTTGGATAGGATGAAAAGTAATATAGTTAAGTGTAAAGATGGTTTAACCCCTGAACCTTAGTTCATCTAATCAACACCAGACACGTGCAGTCGGAATTTCACAATACGTATCCTTGATACATTGAAGATTACGATGAAAACAGGAGGGACTAAGGCTGAAAAGGCTACTTAAAGCAAGTTAAGAAGACTTGTGAATGTAGTGATATGACAATGAGCAGTAATCATCCAGTTTTTAATACTGTATCACTATGTGTTTCATCAAATAAACCTATCTAAGATGGAATCATATTCTACGACAATTCTCAAATTCATCTTCGATAACAGTTATAAACATTTGTTCTAATTTGTCTAACTGATCCACTTCACCTGATTATGTAGGGCGTATGCTTAAAGACAAGTAGACTTTCATGTCGTTTAAATTTATTATAAGGTTAATATTGCTAAAAATTTCTTTACAATAGCTGAAGAATGGGAGGAATTCAGGATTTTATCATGAATTGATATCGGTTAGGGGACCATTGGAAAACCTGAGAGTACTGGACAGATGTTTCGTTCAACTTTGGGACTCTTCACATTACGCACCCACCGCAAGGGTTCGAACCCAGGACCAATGTTACTTCATGATGAAGTCTTGAAACCAGTCGAATCCCTGCAAACCAACAATTGTATGTCAATTTGATGCCCACTAGTAACTATCCCTATTCACGTAGGAAGTTACCTAAGTTCTAGTGGGAAGTCATGACCAGTGGAGTACAGCAAGTCGCGTGTGAGGACAAATACTCACCAGCGATGAAATTCCCTAGTGGTCGCTCCATATCATGAATTGGCAGAAGTTGGAATTTATGTACTGGCCATTGTATCGGGTCCGAGTGACTTAATGGTCTACGAGCTAGCTCGCCTTGTAACCAGAAGGTTCTGAGTTCGAACCGTGGTGGTGGTGGTTGCGTGCTGCTGAAGAGTCTCAGACTAGGACGAGGGAGTTTTCCAATACTCTTCGGTTTTCCAATGGTCCTCTAACAGATGTTAATTTATGATGAAATGCTGAATCCAATGAAATCCCTGCAAACTAACACTTGAATGAGATAATTACCATTAGACACAACACTGGAAAGGAATTTATACAAGTCACAACAATTTGTTTACTCATTTCATGTTATCTTAGATCTCAGATACATTGATAAGTTCAAGAATACAATGATTACATATTTCTAAGGAAGCAATTCAGAAACAATGAGGCATATTTAAAGCTTTTATTTTTCTAATTCAGTTTTACTTTCCGGTTGATTGATTGGACCGAAATGCTCGGCCTCATGTTGACATGTCGTCTTCTTGTGCGGACGCTTCAACGATTTCTGAGGATTAACTTGAAGTCATTTGGTGGATGGTGACTAGTAGTGGAATCCAGGATTCATGCATTTCGTTCTACTTAGAACTCGTCAGCATAATGTACCTTCGTTTTTCAGTGAGTGATTGTGTTCCCACTGAGTCTGAGACCCAGCACTCCTCGTTTCAAATGCTAAAGCGTAATAGACTAGACCATTTGGGCCACGAAAGCCACCCGTTGTGCAATGGGTGTCACATAGTTTTTGTGGGAATCATGATTGATTTTCTCTGAAAAAAAGTAACAATAACGAGCCTTAGTGGGAACACCACCACTACCTGGGAAGTATGAATACATCCAGACGACGAGTTCCGAATAGGATAAAACTCGCATCCTGGATTCCACTGCCGGTCACCATCGAATAAATCACTTCTTCAGCTGTTTACAACATAAGTCAATAAAGTTATTCTTTGAATACAGTTTTTGGATTTTACGAGGATTTGATTGTTATCAAAGGTGATTCTGTCATTGACTGTGGTGTCACTTTAGGTTTCTTAACAAGTGTTGCTGTTAAACTTATCTACAACATCGAGTTAGATGGATTACAACTATTTACCATTATTTAGGTTCTTCCTGACTTTGTATAATTCTATCGAGAGAACTATGTGTATCAAGTCTTTGAAGAGACTCGCCTTCCTACAAAATCTTTTATAATACAAATCTAGATGTGTTAATAAGAGTTTATTATAAATAGTGTTGAAAATGAATTCCCTTAACAGTATTAACCCGTCAAATAATTCAGTCTGCTTTATACAGCCACCTAGCTAAAGTATTTTCATATGCGGCTTAAAAAACTATCAAGCTAAAGTGATCGTTACTTATCTTCCACTAACATTTTGGGCTACCATATTCCATGTACATTTTGCATCTATTTACTCATATTTTGTTGGTGTTTACATTTAAAATTATGCATTCTAATCGTATCATTCACTCTCGGGATTATATAAAATGCTTAAAACCTAAAAACTTTCATATTTGCAATAAACTCAAGAAAAAGCACCATGGTGGTTGGCAACGTGCTTTAAAATCTACACCCATACATCAAACTACTGTTCCGGTTATCGTTAGTACGAACTGTCGGTCACTGCCTAACAAAATTCTGGATTTTCAGTCCCTGTTGTTGTCCGAAACTTATCATAATACTGGTATTGTAACTCTACAAGAAACCTGGCTTCATGACTCATATGATGACAATATAGTATCTTTAAATGATTTTAATGTATTCCGACAAGACCGTGTTTGTTCCAAGAAAAAATGCGGCGGTGGAGTAGCTACATTTATTCACTCAAAATGGTCTATTTCTAACAATGTTTGTTTCAAATTCTCGAATGACTACATTGATTGCATCACTGTCAGATGTCGCCCGAGACACTTGTCAAAATACAAATTCATTTATATTTCTAATGTTTATGTCTCTCCTGGCTGTACCATATCGGATTTATCTATGTTCGCAGATGAATTCACCGCTTTTGCTGCAGCTTGTTTCGAGAACTCTTTATCAATAGTGACTGGCGATTTTAACTCTTGTGATCACTCCTTCCTTATATCACTTGGCCATGACAATATTGTTAACTTTGCTACCCGTCTCGATTTTTTTTTTTTTTTTTTTTTTTTTGTTGATGTTGGTATATATGAAGCTCGCAAACGTGCTCCTGTATTGAACTCTGACCACTGCATCATACGTGTACTGCCTAAAATATATTCCAAATCACACAAACGTGTCTTCTCTCACCTCTACAGTAAATTTCAACGGAGATGCTACTCACAAGACAATCTAAGCAAACTCAGATGCATGTTGATAGATACTAACTGGGACCTATTTACAGAACAAACATTAAATGACACAATCACAAACACCACAGATTATCTTAAATTCTGTTTGGAAATATGTTGTCCTAAAGAAACATTATTCACTCGTTTTGACCGTTTCTCTTCTCCATATCTCAAAAAGCTCCGTAGAAATAAAGAACTGTTGTTCAAAACAAATGATAAGTCAGGTGTAAAAAAGCTAAATCCTCTGATAAAACTCGAAATGCACAGACTAAATGTTTTATACAACCAAAGATTTTTGTCATGTAAAACCCCTTCTAGTTTATGGAAACTTTTTAAAGAAATAACTAGCGGTAAGCGGTGTAATTCTGTACAATCTCTTAATGTTAATAATCTTAATAAGTCTTTCATACGCTCCTCTGACGATATCCTTCCTAATGATACAAATCACATAGACAATAATTTTAATGGTTTTAATACCCTTGATGTGCTTAAATGTCTCCGTTCTCTTAAGCCTTCCCAAAGCCTTGGTCCTGATGGCGTACCTGCCATTGTCCTCAGGAACTGTGCTGATATTTTGTGTTACCCTCTTACTAATATTTTTAATGCTTCCTTTTCCAGTAATGTTCTACCTTCTGCATGGAAAAACATTAAAATTGTCCCTATACCAAAACAATCTTCTGGTACCGATAGTAAATTTAGGCCTATTGCAATTACTTCTCCTTTTTTAAAATTGATGGAAAAACTACTTTTACTTCGTCTTGAACCTTCATTGAAAGCTTTTAATGACCCTAAGCAATTTGCATATAAACATGGTAGAAGTACCTTGGATGCTGCGGTTGTCTTATATCATAATGTTGTTTCTTGTTTAGACAAAGGTGCCAAATATGTCCGTGGTGCTTTCTTAGACTACACATCTGCGTTTGACTCTGTACCTAGGGGCCTTTTATTAAATAAGCTCTCCTTGACGCACACAGCATCCTGGGCTAAGAGTTGGTTGCATTCTTATTTTTCTGATAGAATGCAGTATACTGCATATAATGGCAAATCTTCTTCTGCTTTGCTTACAAAAGCCGGTGTTCCTCAAGGTGCCGTCCTCTCTCCCTTTCTTTTTTCTTTCTTCTTACATGACCTGCCACATTTAAACGAAACCAATTTTGTCAAATATGCTGATGATCTGACTGTATCACTGCCTATCACTTCTGAGTCTGACTGCTCCAAACTTAATAGCTTTTTGTTGGACATCAGCATGTGGTCTAAGTCAAATGGTCTTATGTTAAATCCTTCCAAATGTCAGGCAGTTAACTTTACCTTCAACCATCGACGTGACATACATGAACTAGTTAGTTCCCATGATGCCTGTAGCATAGATGGTACAGAAATTGAAACCAAATCAAGCATTAAATACCTTGGATTAGTTCTTTCCTCGGACCTTTCATGGTCATCTCACATTTTATTGGTCTCTAAGAAAATGTTTCGTCTTACCTTCTACATTAAAAAGTTAAGACAACAAGGTATCAGCCAACCTTTAGTTCTGCGATTTTTAAACTCCTGTATTTTACCTATTGCACTCTATTGCTCTCCATTAATCTTTCCTGGGCTTCTTAAAAAAGACTATGCCGTATTACGAAGGGTATTAAATGCTGTGAGTAGGGCTTGTGGTTTGCCACTGCGTGATCTCGCCAATACCATAGTCGAGAGACACGTAAATTCCTGTAAAAATTGGGCAAAGGCCGTACTGTCAGACCCTCTGCACCCTCTTTATTCACAATTATCCCCTTGTATGTCATCAGGTAGAACGAGAAGTCAATATAAGAAATTATATGCTCGTACCACTAAGTACAAAAATTCTACAATACCGTACTTAGCCCGTATTTTATGTGATGAAGACACTGTTAGACGTGAAACATATAAGTTACTATGTAATTAGCATAGTGAATCGACCCTTTCATTGTTCATCTTTCTGTAATTCTATGGTGTCACCCTTTCTATCGTTTAATTATAACTTTGCTATTTTTATTTTAGTTGTTATTACTATTATTACTATAATTTTATATTTTTCTCCTTATCCTCTACTGTAATTGCTACATAGCTCCTATTAAAACGTTTTGTTATCATTATTATGTATTAATTATTCCGTTTATCTACTTTTTTGTTTGTTGTTGTCGTTTTTGAGTAAATTAGATGCAATACTGTACTGAATGCTGAAAATTCCTTGCTGTATCATTAATACTGTTTTTGGAATAAAGCAAAAATTATTATTATTATTATTAAGTGAACTAAACCTTTACATTATATCACGCAGTCAGTCTATTTATTCGCCACAATTGACTTTGCACTCTGTGACCTGCATACACTTGAATTGTTGTAAAGAAATGAATGAATACTAAGTATTGGTTCACAGGGATTTGACTGACTTTAAGTTTGATCTCGAACTGTCTTCATTTGGATAACCAGTGAAACTCAAAGAGTATTGAATACCTGTTTCGTCCTTGACTGAGACTCATCACCGGTTGTCACTCATGATCCAAAAACCTTCAGGTTACAAGGAGAGCTCTTTTACCATTGAGCTAATAACGCTAACTGCTGACTGCGACACATAAATCGAAAATTCGCAAAACGTCAGCCTTCATCGGTCATTGGATTTCGTCTGGATGACTTAATTGTCACCTGCATCCCCCGCACTGATGAAGCGTCTCAACCAAAGGCGAAACAGTTATCTATTACTCCCTGGGATGACTCGATCTTCAAATGAAGTCCGTTCGTGATTAATCTTGAAACTGATCAAACCCCTGTAAACCAACATCTAGTATGTATTCATTTCTTTACGTCAGCTTAAGTGTTTGAAGACCGTATTCAGTGCTCTAAGTCAATTATGACGAATAAATACAGATCCTCTCCCAGTTTACCACATGAAGTTCCAATTAAGAATACAAACAGTTATTTCAAAACTCACTTCTGTGTATTTGAATCACACTGATTGAGATTATTAATTCTTGACTGAAGTCCATATTGAATAACTGATGAATTGGTAGAATATGCCTCAGATACTCTAGACATAAACGATGTCAGATAGTGATTGCAGTTCTCTGTATATTGATTAACTTGTTGAACTCCTCTTCCATCTTGAAAACATGTCATATCATTTTGAATTTCCCGGCTGCCTTTAAATGAAGACTTATCATCATGGCAGAATATTTTAGCTGATGTCAGCTTATTAGTTCTCTGTTCTCTGGCACTTTTATTACATTTTAATCCAGTCAAATGTTTCATATTGTATGAAGTAGACTTTATGTGTGAATTAATACAGTTGGAATTGCATAACTCTTTGACATAGTTGTTATTCCTTTCATTTTTGTTGATATTTCTTGTATTTTTGTTACTTTTATTCAATGCAACACCTCCACATGAAGTTAAAACTTGATGTTTCAATAGAGAATAGGTATTCGCGAACTCATGCCCACAAGATAAGCAGTCTGGCTTTTGTCTACAGCGTTTATGCAAACGTTTATGTCTGCATAGATTACTGAATTGAGTATATGCTTTATGGCAAACCTAATAATAGATGCGGGAGAAAAGTTGTAAACAGTTAGGGAGAAAGGAATGAACTAGACTTATATATATACTGTTTCTGGTATATAAATGCAAATTAATTTGGTTTTAAGATATATATTACATACAATAAAACAGTATTATTTACTGGAAGACGTTTCAAACGAATTTTATTGTTATTCAAGTAAATTAAAACAATAAGTCCCTTTGATAAATTTGAATAAGGCATTTAGAAGACAAATTTCGCGAGATGATATCATTTCGTAGTTTCTTTACAACCCCTTTACAACTAACATGGTTAACAATAATAAAATAAAGTTCATGACAATTACTCAGTTAAATAAAGAAAACAAAAGTACATACTAATGACCAATCATATTTAGATAGGTCATGTTGTCCATGGTAGGAGAAGGTTGAAGTCTATTGTTTTTTGTACACACAGTTTTGGCTGTATGTGATTAATCCAAAGTGTTTCCATCACCTTCAATAACCAACCTTGGGTTAGAGTTATGTGAAATAATTGTGAAAAAGTCACTAATATTGATTTTGTGACGTGACATTAATAAGTGTTTTGCAATGGATGATGCTGGATTTCTACTCAGATTAATCGCGTTGAGATTATCTATATGATTTAGTAGCCATTTTGGAACATGTCCTTTTCGAAGACATTGGAACATTCTGATGGTTCTACTTATAGAGATGTCACCGCAACTGCAGGTGAACTTGTAGATACAGTTTGAAGTAGAATCCACAGAATTTCGTCCTTTAATCGTAGGTACAGGGATCGAAAATGTTCGACAAGTGAGAAAAAGAGATGCGGCGTAGAATGTGCGTTTGATGGCTGACCGAAGTCTTTGAGCTAGCTGTCAACTGCATAATTTGATCACCCTTGAATGTTAGGTTAATAAAGATAACTTTCTTTGGTACAGAAGCTGTCTTTTCGAGATGTGGTCTTTCTTTGTAGGGATTTGACTGATTGGTTACAGGATTTCATCATGAGCTGACATAGCTTACAGAACTATAATCATATCATTTTCAAATGTACAGCTTCAAGACTGGACGGTCATTCTAATTAATGGGAGAGAAACCCCTATCTACGCGCTGTGAGACCAGAAATAAAGCATCGTCAACGACCGACAATCAACAGAGGTCTTATGTGTTGCAGAAATAAATAAGTACGTTGGAAAGGGGAATGAATTTCAATTTAACGTTAAATAGGTTGAAATCTGAGGATGTTATTCCAAGAGTAGAAATAGCACTGAATGAAGCAGACAAAACAACTGCAAATGAAGAATAAGCGCAGTGTAAACGAGCACTCAAATGATAGAAAAGAGGAAAACATAACGAAATGTGAAACAGAAACCTTAGACCTAACAAGAGAATAATAACTGCTTAATCAGATGAAGGGAATTCAGATTTTCCAGGAATCGTGTTTTTTCACATGCAAGTGCGACAATAAGGGGATATTTAGAAACTACTGTACACTGTCATGAATAGAGTTAAGAAATCAAAAGAGAAGATCTTACACGCTAAGTAAGCCGTTTCGATATCAGTCTAAATGCTCTAACTTACTGACCAAAACTAATAACCCCAGCAGGATGTCTGATGTTATCAAATTTTATAAACCAGGATACCCCATTAAACCAATAGTTGATTTTTAGAAAGTCTCAAACATATGAAATGTAAAAATATCTAGCCATGGTAATAGGTACTATCACAAACTATTCAAAAGCTAATTCTTATGAGCTAAAACATAGATTAGGCAATTTATACTCAGATAATAATTTACAAAATTGTTAGTTTCGACATCGTAGAAGCGGTCAGGAATGAACTCATTTCTGACGAGTAACTTGGGCTTAAAACCAAAGTATATCTAGAAGACCACTATTAGGAGTGCACACATGTCTAACTTCTGCAGTGTTTAAGTTTCAAAGAAAATGTACAAACAAACCAAGGGAGTTGCCATGAGGCCACCAAAATCCCTAGCTGTGTTGAGTGTATTTATGGATAGTTAGGAAAAGTTAACACTTGGAACTCTTAACCCTACCATCAGTGTATGGTTTATGTATGTAGATGAGATATTGCTAGTGTCAAAATATACATTATAAAAATAGGTTTTTAGAACGCATTAATTTAACAGTAGATGCAACTTTTATTTACTTATTAACTGGAAAGTTATGAAAAGAAGTTTGCTATGTTGGACTGCATCATACAAAGGAAACAAGATGGGAAGTTAAACACTAGTGTTTACAGAAAACCCACACATTCAGATTGATACTTGGATTTCAGTTCATCCCATATGATCTCACTGAAAGTAAGATTAATAAAATGATAAATTCATAGGGAAAAATAACTAAATAGCACCAAAGGGCATCTATGGCAGGAAGTAAGACGAGTAAGAGAAGCTTTAGCGCTTAATAATTACCCTCATAGAATAAAAATCTGAATTCGTTCCATACTGAAGATCAAATGGCCAGCCAGCCAGAAAGAGTAAACAGCAAGAAACTCTGGCTGGGAGCAAACCAACTAAGAGCCGATTGCTCAGCAAATATAAAGGAGAAAATAGAGACTTATAGGGAACAGACGGAGGAGACCACTGAATGACATCGTGGACCAGGCCATCACTCCAGTGGGAAGCGACTAGTGGGTCATCAGTGTGAGGGTGACATGGAGGAGATCCTGTGGTGAGGAGGTGACAGATTATGGGCAATCGTGGGTCCAGCTGAAGAGATTAGTACCAAATAGCACAAAGTGGAGTTGTGTTGTTGAAGCTGCATGTTCCACTCAGAACTCAAGGGAATAATAAAAATGACCAACGTTATGTCATAATTTTACCACGACAGAGCCATGAAACTGTGCTGAATAATAATAATTTTTAATAATAATAATGGCTTTTTTGTGAAAAGTTCGTTTTAAGCAGTACAGAGTTTCCAGCTTGTTTTATGTAAGACATTTACTCTATGCGCAACATCTTCAGGTAATATAATCTTCGGTAATGTGTCAATTGAAGCAATACTGTTTCATCCAAACCGATGCTGCATTATTCCGCCTAGTTTTTCTCCCTTTTCCTTGAAAACATTCCTAGCAGTAGGTTGAAACCATGTTGGAAATTGTGCGTGACAGTAGGTTTTGACTGATGAACTTAGTCGGGTAGTGATTCAGGCAGACTGACGAATAAATGAGTGAGAGACAACGATCTTAAGTGCGTCAATGAATTCGCATCACTGTAGCGTATTTTGCTGGCAGTTTTTCTAAAGTGTTGCCTACACCAGTTATAATGTATGCTACTTATAAGTAGTATATAGGGTAGTGTCTTTGGAGAAGCGAGAAAGCCATTTAACATAGAAATGCATGAAGATTATAACTCTCAGAGGAATCTAGTATGTAGTAGACATCGACGAAGAAAGCATACCTGAAATAGAATGGATGCTGTCATATTATATGTTGTGAAATCAACGCAAGATTTATGATATATTTTTTAAAGCAACAAAGAGTATTCTTTTCGATTAACTCTTCTTAACTTATTTTATTTCATTATAGTTTCATTCAACACAGTATTTTTGATACAAGTATGGAATTTTCAGCACGTGATATCGGTAGCTCAAATTTAGCACTGATATCAGGTGTGCGTCTGCCGGAGATTGAAACCCGAACCATGTGCACGGTCGACGAGCGTCCTAGCCTATTTACGAGTCAGCGGTTTAGTAGTAGAATGCTCGCCAACCACCCACTTGGCCCGGGATTCGACCTCGGCTGACGCATTTCTACACCTCGCTAGACTGCTATTAAGCCTTGTAAAGAGAGGGGATTGGGCACCCCCAACTAGCAAAAGTAAAATGTCCACTGCTACTGAAACTCTGAAGCTCAAGCCTGAAGTCCTATGTTCCATTCTAAACTCAAAGGAATAAATTAATGATTATAAAGAATTACTTATAGCTAAAAACGACAAAGTAAACTTTATCAAGTTCCACAATTATATATCCATAGTAATTAAAGAGTTATTGTTATCAACAACATTAAAGTTTCAAATAACATTGAGTCAATCATATCGATAGATTACAGTTTAAAAGCATCTGCAATTCATAATACGCACCACTATAACTATAACTTTATTGACTACCAGATAAATTAAGAAAAATAATATAAAAATTATGAATCTGTTGGTTATAAATCAGTCCGGGGAGACAGCAATGGTTGGAACTGTTTGTTTTGTATGCAAAGCTCCCGTTGTTTTAAACGAATTGCATTGGCTTCTGCTGTTTATAGAATACGGTACCTAGAGGCTTTTCCTAATGTCCACAATACTTAGTGATAACACACTACTAAATCTGACTTGCCATTCTTGTCGCCTTCACAGTCATCTATACGTCACACAACCCATTGAAACACTGAAGTTCGTTAGAGTAATAATGATAAAGTGTAATGGCACTAATCAACAGGTTGCTTCAATATCTACACTTTATTCGTCTAGTGTTTATTTACCTGCGTCATATATAGCTTTGAAAAGTGAACTGAAACAAAGCTATGTGTCGCTATACCCATCTTTAATGTAGATAACTTAGCTAAGCAGAAAGTATTATTATTTCTCTTATACAGTTGAATATCATGTTTATTGATTAATTCTCTATCTAGAGTATTGTTAAAGGGTTCATATTTATTAATTCGATTAGTATAAACCTTTTAGGTTTAAATCGATCTACAAGAATAGCGCAGACTACACAATACTTTATCAAGAAATCGTTTCTGAAAGAAGACTGAATTAAATGCTGACGAGATTACTTGGTGTAATGACGCAACGCGGATGACTAGCTATGAAAGCTTACACAATATTAACCAATTACTCAAGATGATATAACTGTAAAAAGTCAGTGACAAGTTTACGGGTTAACTAACATTTATCAATCTCATACAACAGTTGGTGGGATCATGGGAAGTAATTCTGCTCGAAATATTACCGAAAACAAAAAAGTTATGATTGTGTTTAAACTGTTGAAATATAATTATACTTTATTTGCTCGTGCAACAGCTGCATAGCAGTGGTACGTGTCAAATAATCCACAACGGAAAATTCAGCGAAACATCTGTAATGAAGACAGGAGTAAGACAAGGCTGTCTAGCTAATGTTACCGATGACATTCTTAGTTGTAGTGGACTACATTATATGGAATACTGTAGGGAGCTAGAAGTCAGGAATATATTCGGCTGATAGGAAGACACTAGAAGATCTAGAATTCGCAGACGATCTATGTCTAATGTCACAGAAACTTTAAGACTTACAGCCGAAAACCAAAACAACTGGCAGAAGAAGAAGGCAGCAAAGGTAGAAGACTTCAAATAAACATACAGAAAATGGAGGTGATAAAGATAACCGACCAATAACAATGACAAGCACCAATCATTATCAAGGGGAGACGTTTGACTTAGGTCCCTTCCTCCACTTATCTCGGCATCATCGTTTCAGTTACAGGCGAAACGAGTGAGGTTGTCGAATCCAGAATCAGACATTCATCACTCTGAAATCAGCTTGGAAATCTGATACACACAGCATGAAGAACCAAATTCAGATTTTCAACACCAATGTTAAGTCAGTCAGTCCTTCGATATTGGTCAAAAGCCTGGCACTCCTGTCACAAAAAGAATTTCCAAAAGGCTGCAGACATTATCAACAGCTGCCTTCTTTGCATACTGAAGATTAGAAGGTCAGGAAGAATTAGTCACAAATAACTCCGTGAATGAACTAGCCAAGAGCCGATTGTTCAACAAATAGGTGGAGAAAAATGGAGATGGTTGATTAACACTGCGCGCCAGGTCGTCGAGTGGAACCCGAATGTGAAACGGTGAGTTGGAAGTAGGTTTGGGGATGAAGTAGAGGAGATCGTGTGAAGAGTAGATAGAAGCTTACAAGCAATCGTGGAGTCAGTTGAAGAAAATCTCAGAGAATAGAACAAAATGGAGATATGCTGTTAAAGATCTATATTCCATTCTTTACTGAAGTGAAGACTAATATTTAATCATAATCAATTTGATTCTATGCCCACTGAGCTATCCAGAACTTAAACAGTTTGAATGACATTTCTAACGCCACTAATAGTCCCCATCCCAAAACGGCCATCTTTTTCTGACCATTGAACAGTATAAGTTAGCGTGAGAGGTTATATTTACTTATGTCGTCAATCAATTCTCCAATTCTGATTCAGATACAGTAAAATCATGCTTAGAATTTCAAATAAACAGTCAGGATCAGTGCTACTGATATCACTGCTTCTCCTGATAAATCTAATAATATTCCTATTAATATTAATTATGCCGATTGGCTACAAAGCTGAAATACGATAAGCATTTACAGTAATCAAAAGAACTATTAAAGAATTATGTTCTGAATTCACATTCTAAATAACAGTCCAAGTTAAAACCAATTTCAAGTTTCACCACAAATTGACTTCATTCAAAGGAGAATTGAAAAACAGGGAGTACCGAATAGCTGTTTTGTCCCTGTTTGGGGCTATTCAACAGTAAGCACACGTGGCCATGGTCAATATTGAAATAATTCAAATCCTTGCAAACCAGTGCTTGAAATGCAGCTTAGTCCTGACTGGTGATTGACTACAGGGTAAAATTGCCCAAAGTTTTAGCAGGAAGTCACGACCAGCGAGGTCCACCAAGTCAGACTTGAAGAGATATTTACTTGCGATCGCAACTAAGGGGAAAATAGAATTGATGGGCCATTGTATTCCATCCCAGTGGTCAAACAGTCGATGGATTGGATCCTTAAATCGAAAGTCCTGGGCTCAAGCACTAACGGAGTTATGGGTGCGTACTCCTGAAAAGTTCAAAACTAGGACGAAACACCTAGCCAGTAGTTTTTCGTTTTCAGTGGTTGTCTAACAGAATTCAGTTCATCATCAAACTTGAAGTCACTCAAATCCCTACAAGCAATTTTTAGAAACCATGTGTTTGCATTCCTCAAACTGCAAATACAACAAGGGGATAACAAACCTGACACGTGAATGGTTTGTATGATGCATGAATGTGCATGTGTTGTTTCAGTCCAGAATTTGAAGTAAAACATTTTGAGCATTGTGGACAAGTGTAGCCGCGTTCTCTATCAGTTTTATTAGCACTGTTAATCATTTCTTTAGAGAATTTTTCAGTATCATTTCTTTTTGTAAAGTTTACTATGCTTTGTGTTGTGTCAGTTACATTTGTAGAATAATATGGTAAAGCATTCTGAAGGAAATGAGATGAAGTTAAAATATTTGTTCTTCTACCAGTAATAGATGATGTTTTATAGAGTTCATTGAAATGATTGTCATTGTTCTTCATATCACTAAAAATGTAAAAGCAGAAAAATAATATTGTCAAAATGTGTTAATTACCACTAATATATGAACATAAATTATATTTATATATATATATATATATATATATATATACAGAGAGACAAAAGAGAACCGAACCTCATGTTCTGTCTCTAATGTCCTGGTGGGTATTTACCACAAAATACATACGGAGACTAGAAACTGACGGTATCATTATTATCACTCAATCTTTTCATTCCAGATGGAACACATGGCTTCAGCAGGATGTCTCCATTGCACATGGTTCTCTGTCATAGCTTTCTGTTGCCTCCACGACTGTCCACAAACCTTTATTTCCTCTTCAAATGATCTACCTCATTTGACCGTTGAACGCCCAACTCGTTGCTTCGTAATTCATGTTCTTCTCGAGGGCCTGGCATTTCACCTCACTCAACAATCTTCTTAGTGTTTTTCCTTCCCATCTTCTGCAAATCTCTTTCATAGTAGTTTCTTAAAAGATACGACATTTTTTTAGATTTAACCCACTGATAGTGAATGGTGGTGGCTGGTCAGCTATCCTCATTATCTCTGCCTTCTCCACGTTCATTTGGAGTCCTGTCTTCGCTGCCTGCCTCTCCTGACAACTTGTTAGTTTTCGTGGATAAGTCTTCGAGTTTGCGTGATATTAAACATAAATCGCCCACGAAGTCCAAATCTTTTGCAGTCTTCTTTTTGACCTAACACATTCCTATCTTTTCCCCCTCCATGATCTGTCTCATAATCAGGTCCACCACAGTGAGGAATATCATCGGTGATAGCAGATAGCCTTGTCTTACTGCTTTCTTCAATTCAATTAGTTTCTTTAGGTTTGTTTTCTCTAGTATTGACATAAAGAAATCTGCAAGTAACAGGCCCAGTGGTGATCCCATAGCTATACCATCTTTTTGACGACATATTTTATTATCAAAAGAGAATTGGACATTTTGAGTGCGTGTCCAAAACTAGTTACTGACTAGTGTTCAATCAGAAATATTAATTGGATATTTGAATCTTTATAGTGCGGCAAAATTACTGACTTGAAAGTCATCCCATGAACAGTCTATTTGAAATACTTATTTGAATGTTTCAGCTGATTTTGCAGTTACCACCCTTTTTTCCTGACCTGTACATCATTCTAACACTCGAATATCTCCTTTTGACCTAATCCTTATCATTTGTCTTTATTTTCGGTTAATCCTAATTTTCAATGCTTCTATTTTTCTGTCGTGTGATATTGTTTATAACAGTGCACTGTTTTACGATTGTAATTTTGTTTGAATGAAGTCAAGGTTACACTGTGAAGCAATTGATTAACCTTAGAATGTCTGCAGGAAAGGTGTTCTATTCTATTTGATTCTAGTAGACAGCGTTTTGATCTCACCTTGTTGCGAACATTCTTATTCATCTTCATGTAATAAAAAATCGTGTTTGGTCAATTCGTTTTTGTTGCACAGTACGTATTTTGTACCTGAGAAACTTCTGAGCTCATTTTGGATGCTTGACGTCATTGTTGGAGTAGTTTTATATTTCTGATATAAATTATTACTGTTGAATAGTACCACAAATTCTATCATATCATATTGTCTGTTTTTTAATACTGCAGGAATATAGTTTCTAATTGTAAGTTACTCGTGGAAGTTTGGATAGTTATACAGATTCACGTCTCGTTTGATTCCCACTATTCACATCGAAATACTTCTGTTTTGGTCATTATACATGATACTAAGGACTGGTTGGAGGATTTCATCATGAGCTGACATCAGTTAGAGAATCACTGGAAAACCTGAGAGTACTGGACAGCTGTTTCGTCCTAGTTTGGGGCTGTTCAACTGGCGCTATTCAAACAGATAAGCTGGAGTTCCAAGGGGAAGCCGTGACCAGTAGGGTACAGCAGGTTGAAAGTGAGGCAGTAACTCATAGATGCAGACATTGCGAATCGGTCACGCTTTCTCATGAATTGGCAAAAGTTAGAATTCATGGGCTAGCAATTGGATCGGGTCGCAGTGGCTTAATTATCTACGAGCTCGCCGGCCTTGTAACCAGTAGGTCCTGGGTTCGAACCCCTGCAGTGGATGCTCACTGATGAAGAGTCCCAAACTAGGATGAGACAATTGTCCAGTACTCCCGGGTTTTCCAATGATTCTCTAACCGATTTCAGCTCATGAAGAAATCCACCAACCAATCAAACCAAATTCCCTACAAAACCAATACTTGAAAATGATACTTAGGACTTGAGAGGAAGGAAGAATATTTAAAGGATTAACTAGAAGTGCATTAGTATAATATCTTCATTACCAAATGACGAATAAGTAAATTATGCAAAAGTAAAATCTTTTTTATTTTATTGTTATTAGTTGTATTAATATGAATGACAAATCAAATGAGTTCATTTAGAATAATACCGATAAGGACTTCTCTGATACAACCACTGTATTATGATACTTCATACAAGTTATACGTTAATTCATTCCAAGTATTCTTACATGGAATAAAATACCCACTTTTTTACCAACTAGCTGATCAGTCAGTCAATTATAACAAAGATTAACCATGGAATTTTCGAAGTTTCAAGTCAAAAACTTAGAGTTACTGACAACTGACTTTTATTTCTGATGATGCTTACCAATATGACGTAACCTATACGACTTGGTTTTAAAGGTACTTTTAATAACAAGGTTGCCAGCTTCCCAAGCTAATTATCTGTCAAATGTACAACACGTTCATATCCCTGATGATTAATACATCAAACAATCTGGATGTTGTCACTGTCCTTGAAACGACAGTGATTTTCACATAGTTTAGTGCCTAGAAACTCTATTATTTCCTGTTAAAAATGACTGAATTTTCGGGGAAATTAATTAAGTGTAAGAAATATCCATCACAGATGATACCAAGCTTCAGATTGGTCTTACTAATAGTAATAAAGAGTGAATATTTTCATCTGATTGTGTTCACTGAGCTGGTTAACTTCATTTCGAAGCTTACGTCATCCTTTTAGACAACATCGCTTCAGTTCAAACTTCAATATAAAGTGAACTTATTTCAATTCTCCATCAATGACGATATTGTTTTGTATTGCCGGACAACTTTTGTCTTGATTGATTGTTAGTTTACATTTGTATTGACTTGGAATTTGGACGTTTTAGTCATGTGTTTTATTCTTTATTAGCTGGAAATTTGATACTGTCTAGAAAGATAATGGGAGGATAATCGCGTCGGTGGCACAGCGGTAGAATGCTCAGACAACACGCATGTGGCTCGGAGTTTGAGCCTCGCTAAGCCAGTAATAAGACTGGTAAAGACGGAAGGTTGGGCATGAGGCTAGCAACCCCATCCTCTAAAAATAATCGCCACTCCTAAAGAAGCTTCCAATCTCTAGCTTGTTCCACTGGGAACTTGAAAGAATAAATAAAATAAGGATAATGAAAGCTTCGCAACTGAGTCAACCAGTTCAGGGAATACAACTGAATCATAGTCATCTACCTGAAACACACATCTCTATTATTTCACAGGGTGAACTTGTTCATTTATACAACATTACAAGTGCATAAAACTAACAGGAAACTGGAATACAGGTCAGCGTAGAGTAGAAAACAAAATGAGACGTTTCACTTTATTATTCCACAAAGTAGCAATTTTATGTGATCAAAATGATCTCCACTTATGCTGTAGACAGAATTAACTAATATCTTCTATTAAGAAGTTTTAACTGGATATATAATCAATTGTATGCTTCGTTTTTGAAGATTATGAAAAAAACGTTTTGTGAAACAGTATGTAAAATGAATTATTTTGTTCAAAACTGCCTATACTATTTATTAATTTGATTGGACAATCATGGAGATGGAGAGGGATCGCACACATGTTGAGGAGAGCTTTGAGGGGAATCGCGTGCGAGGCCGTCGAGTGGAATCCTAGTGGAAAATGACAAGTTGAACTTTGATTCGAAGTTGACATGGAGTATATCATGTGGCGAGGAGGTAAAAGCCTGTGGGCAATCGTGCAGTCAGATGAAAAGGACTGGAGAAAATGGAGATGTGCTGTTGAAGCCATATGTTCCACTCCGAACTCAAGGGAATGATAATTATTGAGATTATTTTGATTGTTATCAGTAACATGAAGCTTTACTGTATGTTACCTTTCCCTTTGGTATGGTGTTATCAAAAAGACATTTTCTAATTCCTATTAGAATTCTAAAAGAACTCATCGGGTTTTTATTTTCAAACACAACTTTCCCTAAGTTGTCATTTTTGTGTCATAAAACATGAAATTCATGGGATAAATCATACTCCTACTAATTTTTAAATTATAAGAAGAGAACTCAGGCACTGTAATAGAGTATAATCCCATAAAAGAATGAGTTTATCTGATAAAAGTACACAATGGAACGGCATTATTTACTGTTGACGTTTCGAGCACAACTTATTGTTCATAATCAAGTATAGGGCATTCGCATAACTTTCAAAATTCATCTACATATTTCCACTACTTATTGTTTAGTTTCATTAGTAGTAATATTTTCCAAATCTCTGGTATTGGTGTTGCATCACACCTATTGTAAACGTTTGCCGTCAGTTCGACAATCAAAGAGTCAGTGATTCAGTTGTTATCGTCAATTATGTCAACCACATAAGTCAAACCAGTACATCGTGGGTAGTCAGATTATCCTGACAAAAGAATTTAGTTAGGTGTAGGGTGACTGTCCACACGAAGATGAATAATTTAGAGAGAAAAATCAGATATCGCAATGCATTCATTAACACACGTTGGTGAGGGACACAGTTATAATTCTGAAAAGTAACATAGGTAGGTGAAGGAAATGATTGACCCCTAGACGTCTGTTTACGGGATCAACATGTAACATGTAAACGAGGAATGACACTAGGCCAATACCAGAGATTTGGAAAATATTACTACCAATAAAATCACAGGATAAGAAAAAATGGAATTATTTAAACGAATTTCAAAGTTATGTAAGTACCTTGATATGATTATGAGTAATAAGTTATGCACGAAACGTTATCAGTAAATAATACTCTATATCATTGTGTGATTTTACCAAAGAAATGTATTCACTTATGGAATTCGAATTCCTTTCCATTAATACGCTTATCGTATCGATAGTTCAGGTGGAGAGTTCGGGTACTTTGAAAATAAATGCAACTCACCACAAACTTGAAATGCCAGAAGTAGTCAAGAGTACGTACTCGCTTACAGCCTAACCAACATCACACTTGCAGCAGTAATACCTCATATCCAAACAAAGTAACACATCGTTACGTGTTATCACTGCATTATATAAGGGATAAATCTTGAAGTCAACGACTAGACTACCATGTTTAAACCCCATGAATACAGCATCAGTGACTACAAATGATAAGTAGATTGCATGAATATTTTTAAAAGGCAAAAATTGAAGTCATTCAATAAAATACTCACTTGAAATGAGGGAATATTTGTTTCTCTGTATCAATCTTTCCTTGTAAATTATCACTCTTACATATTTGTTTTAAATAGCATGATTGTTCTCGAAATATACGTAAAAGTACCCATGGTGGCGGTATAATCAATGGTGTAGGCCAAACAGTTTTAAAATTATTCGCTAAGGAATAATTATTATTATAGTTTATGTCGACTGAAGACGAAGAAGAAGAAGCCGAATTCGTATTACTCATGGTAGATTACTAGTTGTTTTACAAGTAAATAATGTTGAATTCAATGTTCAATTGAATATTGTTTAAATCATCCAGTTATGGTATTCAATGGCTAAATAGTTAACAGCTTATCTTCCCATTAGGTATTATAAAAAGAATTTCTTTTCCAGCGTATTTCATCTATTCTTTCTTTCTTTCTTGCCTTTCTCCTAAAGACTAATTGTAAATTTTACCAACATCTCAACTCAACTATCTAGAGACTGTCTATCATTGAGGGGAATATTTTCCTCCCTCTTAAAAGGCAAAGAAAACAACTTTTCTTCCTCTCATCCCTTCTTCTTCTTCATCATAGAAGATAGGATGCATAATTCCTCCCCTTTTTATACATTTATTAAAACTATCTTTCCCTGTTAAACTTCATATTTCCCTTATTTTCCTTAGCTGACTACTACTATCTCATATCTATTTGTGAGTTGATTGATTCCTTACTAGAGATCAGACCGAGTAAGAGAAGAATTGATGGAAAAAAGGTAGTTACTGAAAAGACAAGACATAAAAATGAATGAAATAAGAGACGAGAAGAGATGAGAGATGAGAAATAAATCCGAAGAAAAAAGAAAAAATGGAGACTGAGAAACAAGAAATTGATGTTACTAACCAATAAGAATTAATTTTGGGATATATATGATGCTAGTATCATCATTGGGGATGACAAAAATATATTTTGTAAAATATTTGAAATTCTCCTTCCTCTTCTTTGTAGGAATCGAAAGTATCAAAGTGTTAATGAATTTATTTAGGAGAAATGAAATTTTCAAGGTGTTTGATACATCTGCATTCTACTTTCTCATATTTAGCTGATGTACTTATGGACTGAAGATGTGCATTAAAAGCTAAAAAAGACTGAATAATAAACAAAGAATATTCTTTTCGATAAATTCGTCATCGGCTTCTACATTTATATGATCATAATAATTAAAGAATCATGATTATTAACCAGATAGACTCAGGAGTCAGACAAGGGTGATTATTATCACCAATGATATTCCTAATTGTGGTGGACTGGATTATGCGTCAGACAGTGGGAAACGAGAAGACAGGGATATCCCGGACCGACGTGAAGAACCTAAAAGGCCTAGATTTCGCGGATGATTTATGTTTGATGTCACACAAAATCGAAGACTTACAAGCGAAAACCGACAAACTGGTCGAAGAAGCAGCAAAGACAGGACTCCAGGTGAACAAAGACAAGACGGAGGTTATGAAAATAACCAACCAGCAAAAACAACAGCAGCAGCAACATCCAGCGCCAATCACCATCAACGGGAGGGATTTGAAAGAGGTTACTTCATTCACTTATCTAGGGAGCATTGTCTCAACTACAGGAGGAACGGACGAGGATGTCAAATTGAGAATCGGGAAGGCGAGAAACACATTCATCAACCTGAAACCAATCTGGAAATCTTCGTCACTCAGCATCAACAACAAAATTCGGATTTTCAATACAAACGTCAAGTCAGTCAGTTCTTCTATACGGATCAGAAACTTGGCGGGTCAAAAAGAATATTTCCAACAGCCTGTTGCAGACCTTTATCAACAACTGTCTTCGCTCCATACTGAAGATTAGATGGCCGGAAAGAATCACCAACAAGAAACTATGGGAACAAACAAAACAGGAACCAATCGCCCAACAAATATGCAGGAGAAAGTGGAGATGGATTTGACACTCGCTGAGGAGGCCGTTGGGTGACATCGCGCGTCAGGCCAGTGCTCGAGTGGAACCCGAAAGGGAAGCGGCGAGTGGGACGTCCAAGGGTGACATGGAGAAGATCGTGTGATGAGGAAATGAAACAGTTTGGAATAACATGGATGCAGGTGAAAAGTACAGCAGAAGACAGAAGCAAGTGGAGACGTGTAGTTGAAGCCCTATGTTCCACTAGGAACCCAAGGGAACAATAATACAACGATAATAATGCTGTTTTAAATTTCACTGAATCAGTAGAATCGAAAGATTACAGTTCAAAAGCATCACTAAGATGGGAATGATATGCGTTAATAAAACAGTAGACTGAATATCAGATAAACTGAGGAAAGTAATGTAGAATTTATGAGTTTGTAGGTTCGACAACAGGCCAGTGTACCAATAGTAGGTGAACGTGTTTGTTTTGTACTTGGAGCTCAGATTGATTTAAACGGATTGAGATGACGCATGCTGTCTGAACTGTTCGGTATCTAGATTATTGTTATTATTATCATATTTATTTTATTCCTCCACGTTCCCAGTGGAACGTTTTCTTAGGAATGGTGTTAATATTTACAGGGGGTTGCTAGCCTTATGCCCAACCTTTCTTCTTTATCATTGTTATTACTGGCTTAGCGAGGCAAAGGAGTGCGCCGGCTGGGACTCGAACCCCGAACCACTTGTTTGATAGGCGAACATTCTACCACCGCGCCACCAACGCACTAGGTATCTAAAAGTGTTTGATAATTTATTCGATACCCAACAGATGATAGAGACTCTTCAGTGTGGCTAGCTGTGTGGCCTATCTGGATGTGGTGGTCTAATATAGAACTACTGATGGTTTTAACAACATCGGAACGGGTGAAGATGTCAAAGTCAGAATTGGAAAGGCGACATGAGCCTTCATCAATCTGAAACACGTTTGGAAATCTTCTGCACTCAGTTTAAGGAACAAGATTCGTATTTTCAAAACTAATGTGAAGTCGGTTCTTCTACACAGGTCAGAAACTTGCACTGCGTGTCACGGTAAAGATTTACAACAGGTTGCAGACTTTCATCAACAGCTGCCTTCGATCCATACTGAAGATCAAATTGCCAGAAAGAATTAGTAACAAGAAACTCTGGTCGCGAACAAACCAACCAAGAGCCGATCTCTCAACAAATATGTAAGAGAAAATGGAGATGAGTCGTTCATACGTTGAGGAGACCGTCAATGACATCGCGCTCCAAACCACCTCTCGAGTGGAATCCTAGTGGGAAGGGAGGAATGGGTCGTCAGTATAAAGATAACATAGAAGAGATCGTTTGGGGAGGAGGAGATGACAGATTATGGGCAATCATGGACCCAGGTGAGGAGGATGTCAGAAAATAGAACAAATTGGAGATGTGTTGTTGAAGCCGTATGTTCCGCTGGGAACCCAAGGGAATAATAATAATATAATAATAAGGGATTGGTTGAATTGAAAGATGCAGTATGATGCAGCCAACCTAGGCACTTTGTCTTTCAGTTTTGTAATCACAACCGAATATGTGGAAAAATATAAGTCGCTGCTTACTGGCCTTAAATGTTCTTCGAATCGATTTTCTTAACTTGTTGGTTATTATTTCACTTGATGTATCACCTTTGAATTGTAGTGCTAAGCAAAGAGGCTTTCTGTTAACACGTACTCATTTTTTTCTTTTGTGCTCTGATATAAACAACGGTTTTGCTTAAATTGGTCTTCATTCTGACATTTCACAGTAGATAGTTTCTTTTGATTTATTATCAGAAATAAAAGTGGTATATACTACTAACTGATATGAGTAGTTGGAAATTGCTTATATCAACTAGTAGTGCTTGCTAGCCAGAGTGAAAAGGAAGTCATATCATTGCATTGACTGGCATTCACATTCTGTTTATTGTTTTCAGTATTCAGACACTAAATTTCAAGACTGGACAACCTATGGAATAATGTTTAATACACCGACATTTGTACATTCTTGCTATGATATACCCTTAACTTACCTATCTTACTTGTCAACAGTTATAAGCAGCACAAAATGGATCCAATGGCATGGAAATCCCTGATCTAGTTCTTTACTCTATCCGAAAATCTCATCATTAAGATATATTGAACGACTTATCTAACTGATATGGTTATTATAATGACAGCAAATATAGTACAATAAAACAGATCGTGTTGCTAAGATGAAGATACGTGACAAGTAATTTGGTGCTTTTAAGAAAACCTTTCAAATACTCTTGATTGACTTTCGAATAGTTCTAAGTTTCCTCCTTTTCCTTTTAATTTTATCTCCCCTTTACCTCACTGTCAGTTTTTACAACATCATTATTGGCAAATTAGAATGAGTAATTCCTATATTTAGGAATCTTAAATTCGTTGTAATAATTCTTAATGCTTAATGCATTCGGTATGCTGAAATAACTGTAAAAATGTCTGGTTCACGAAGACTTATCTGACTTCAAAGTTGCCTACTTTTCGAATCCACTCCAGATTGAGGAAGCAGTGAAATTTAAGGAGTCCCAATGTTTATTTTTACTTCTATCGAAACAAGAAACTTACACCGACTAGCTTGCCGAAGGCTTTCACCAGTTCGTGTCATTTCATCTCACCGATATTTTTCTTGTACTTTGAAGTTTATTTAGCGATTGCATTGGTTTTCTGAGCTCAAGACCTGCCAGAAAACTAGCAAACTAGTAAACTAGACGAGGATAAAATCCAGGGAGTACTAGAAACATATTTTAACCGGCTTTACATTCGGGAATGTGTGATTCTGTCGAAGACTATCAGGTTATGTTATACATAAGTTAGAAGACAAAAGGATTTTTATAGGCACCATAATGTTCCTCAAAGTTTAAGACTAAACACAATTAAATGCAATGTGGATTCTGTTAGCTCAATGACAAGAACTTCACTAGCAGACTCATTATACTGTATTCCAAAGTCTCATCATTATCCCGCCAAACAACATATTCTTAAGAAATACAACCTTAATTGACAAATTAAAAAATTGAGAAAGCAGATACAATAAATTCTTAAAACATCTGGATAAGTGAATCCTAGGACTACTTTCGATTGGACAGTAGTCAGTAACTAGTACAATGATAGGTCTAGGACTAGACACATTACACTAGTTACTGACTAGTGTCCAATCAAAAATATCCAATATAATCAGTCTTACAGGAAGTCATTTGCGAGCCTGAATAGCTCAGTAGTAACGCCTCTGACTGCAGTGTTCACTGGGTGACTCGGGTTCAAATCTCAGAAGGGGTATGAGT